TTCGCAGGTGTCATTTGTTGCATACTTGTCATCGTCACCACCCAGTTTGCGCACCATATTCCGCAGGGAGAACACGGTGCCAAATATCAGTTTTGCATCATCTTCGGCGGTCAGGCTTTGACGGGAGAGGGGTATGGATGTGGGTAGGCCGTTGCTAAGGGTGGTGGATTCTGAGGCTGGTCGGGATTTTGAAGTCGTGGAGGTGGGCCGAGGGAGCCAGCGGCGCTTATAGATGCATTCCGCTGCATTGGGAGAGAGCGATTGAGATGTTAGTTCTGGCAAGCTATTGAGTAGAGTAAACGATAAGGGCATATATGACGAACCGTGCCGGTCGAAGATGTAGAAGGAGTACACGGCCATGATTCGTGATGGATGTGTCAAGTGGCTGGTATACGGTAGAAGACCGATAGAAGATAGGAGGGGGTGCGCTATGCGGATCGAGGAATGCAGGAGATTAACATGCGCTTTGGTGATGGTCTAGGGAATAATCGTGGACATGTTCCCAGCTATATCGAGCGCCGGAGAGGAGGTGAGGATAGTGGACAGGGGCACTATTTCAATATTCCGTGGAACTAACACTCCCCGCGGCGTCGCTGCTAAAACTGCTGGTCCATCCGTCCGTCGCGCAGAAGGGGTCGCTTATTGCCACAGAGTATTACTTGCTGACTTAGCATCGGCTCAACAAGATGCGGCTCTTCTTCGACTTCCCCGGCATCAATAATTCACAGATGTCAGTCAACATATCGGTCAATCGATACTTATGGAGCTCTGCTGCTGTAACTGCTGCTGTTATTCCAGAATGGGTCACCGATAGCTGCTGAATTGTTCTTTTTTTTTTCCCCTAGGGCTCGTATCCGGTCTCGATGCTTCCAAGTCGCAATCAAGTCGACGATCCCGCCCCCAGCGCCCGCTGCAGCATCCCCGAGCTGCTATTAGTCCAGCTCCTAGTCCCCAATGCTCGACTGAACAACCCCTCCATACCAGGCAGATTGCCTCTCTTCTCTTCTGTTTAAAAGCCCGTTGCCTCTCGCTTCAATAAGGCGCGGCTTGCTAATCTCCCATTTCGGCCCCTCCATCTTTGTCTCCAGTCCTTAATTCCGCAGCAAAAGGAGCCGATTATCGGGACTATTTGGGGCTCCCCACATTCAGCCCTGTTGGACTACGCTTGGGTTTGTTGCCCTCGCCACAGTCGCCGAGAATCAAATAAATAGATAAAAATACAGAAGCTGCTGTCATCTCACTCTCTCACACACAGAGTGAGAGAGAGGTCTATATACAGACATAGAAAAATCGGTAATATTTTAAATATCCAATCGATTCCCACCCGCAGCACAACCCTACCCGCTACCCGCCTCCCCAGCGGCCCTATTAAATGGCCCAAGACTCGTCTTCTTTAGAGCACCAAAGGACGGTGGCAGGAAAGATCACAATCGACTGCTCCACAGCCGTTGCTGAAACATGCACCACCCGGTATGGTTCCTTTGCTACTTCTATATATTATACCTATTTATTTTGTAATCCTTGAAGCAGAGAGCGGCTTGACCTCCCTATGCTATTCTTCTCGTGTTATATATAGTAGCTAGCTCCAGTCTAGCTATGGCAGTTTTCAGTGGCTACGACCGGTGATGCTCACTTCCCATTGATATTTGAGCTCAACTTAAGTTCTTTATCTTTCCTAGAATGGAGTATGTACTAACATCATCTTTTGATTAAACCCTAGATCTACGACAGCCTCTCATGACAGCCCACTGAGGCATCAGACGAGAAGTCGTACTGCTCCTCGTCGAGTAAAAGTGCGCCACCCTAGCTCTATTGCTCCCCCTTGACTTTGATACAGCTGTTCTTGTTCTGACAGCGAACCAATTGGACAAGGAAACTCTTAATGCTCGTTCCGAATACACCAATAGCCAGGATGATGGCACCGCGGAACATCGTATCAACCAGTATCTCATAAAACAAGAGATTGGGAGAGGCTCGTTCGGGGCTGTCCATCTAGCAGTTGATCAATATGGCCAGGAATACGTGAGCGCTTTCTTTCGTTTTTGTCTTGATTTATTGAAAATGGGAACTAAAGCGACTCTAAAGGCTGTTAAAGAATTTTCGAAATCACGATTGCGAAAACGAGCTCAATCCCATGTCTTGCGCAATCCGCGGGGGGTGAGACGCCCTGGCATAATCCCCGCTGGTATGGGTTTGAATTCTCCCCTCCACCGCCACCCGTCCGGCCACGAAGACGAGGAGGGCAGTAACTCCCTGTATCTTATTAAGGAGGAAATAGCAATCATGAAAAAGCTAAATCACCCTAACCTCGTGGCTCTATACGAAGTTCTCGATGACCCTACAGAAGACTCATTATATATGGTCATGGAAATGTGTAAAAAGGGAGTCATCATGAAGGTGGGCCTGGGAGAATGTTCAGACCCATATCCAAACGAAAGCTGTCGTTGTTGGTTTCGCGACTTGATCCTTGGGGTGGAGTATCTACATGCGCAGAATATCGTTCACCGAGACATTAAGCCGGACAACTGCCTCCTGACTAACGATGACGTGCTCAAAGTTGTCGATTTCGGTGTATCGGAAATGTTTCAGAAAGACTCTGATATGTATACCGCGAAGTCGGCAGGGTCACCTGCTTTTCTACCCCCAGAGCTGTGTGTTGCGAAGCATGGGGATATATCAGGGACAGCAGCCGATATCTGGTCGATGGGTGTGACTCTGTACTGCCTCCGCTATGGGCGAATACCATTCGAAAAAGAGAGCATCTTTGAGCTCTACGAGTCGATCAGGAATGATGAGGTTAAATATGAAAATGAGACAGATGAGGATTTCATAGCTTTGATGACAAATATTCTAGAGAAAGATCCTGCAAAACGGATCAAGATGCCTGAGCTCAGAGTGAGTGTGCCAGTTCTTCTTCCGTATTCTCGCTGTAAGCGCCTTGCTGATTGGAACCAGAACCATCCCTGGGTCACAAAAGGTGGCACCGACCCACTCCTATCTACAGAGGAAAACACCGCCAACCCCATTGGGGAACCTACAGAAGAAGAATTGAATACTGCAATTACCAAGAAAATAGGCAATGTGCTTACAGTGGTATGTTGCTCTGGAATGAAATACCATGTACTTGATCTAACACTTCCCTCTAGGTCAGAGCGGTGCAAAAGTTCAAAAGGCTGATCGAGCCGGAAAACGCCCCAATGCAAAGTATTCTGGGTCAAGATGTCGAAGCCCATTTCGTTCAACCGCCTTTATCCATGGAAGCGTCTTACGTCGAAGTTTCTTCGGCAAATACAACAGACCAAAATGCTCCGTCTAGTGCTAAGAGTATCCATTCAAAGTCCGGCTCCACAGACTCCAAGCGACGAGTCATCGAAAAGGGGATTTACGTGCCTCCCGCCGTGCATAAAAGTGGCAGCGCCTCGCGTCTTGGATGCACGCACGGGGAATCATGCCGATACAGTGCTGCTTCAATATCCAAGTCCCCGTCTCCACCTCTTCAAACCTCCCGCACCAGCACCCCGAGCAAACAAAGTTTTTCAGAAGGTACACGGGGCCATGCTCGCGATCCGCTAGAAGAAGACAATTCCTTCCTTTTCATCGGCCCATCCACTTTTACGGGTGTCCTGACAGTGGACGACGAGAAGACATCATTAACCTATTTCAGCCGTGCAGCAACCTCGGAACCCATGGGTAACTCTGAAGTAACTAGTGGCCTTGGCGGCCATGGCTTCCCGATCGATGAAATGGGTCTGGTGCCAATCGTGAGCGAATCACCAGGCGCCTCGGGTATCGACATCTATGAAACGGCGTATATGGAGGAGGTTGAGCGAATTCGGAAACAAAGCCTTGCGCGCCAGAAGCCGGCGCCGAAGGTGTATCTCACCCGAAGGGTCGAGGGGAAAGAATCGAGCTTGGGCGAGCTGCTTCGGCAAGCTACTATAGGCATGGCGTCGACCAGCCCAGCAGAGGATCAGAAGGCCCCGTCTACCACCACCACCACCACCGTCCAGATAGAACAGTCGACCGAAGGCTCAGGACAGCAAGTTACGCAAGCCGCAGCAGCAGCAACCCTGGCACCGACATCTAGCACCCAGCCACCGCCCCATAAGGCGCTCGGTGCCGCTGACGCCGTAACAAACATGACTAACGCTACTGCCGAAACAGTGACGACATCCACGACTCAACGGTCGCGGACCGGTGTGCGGTCGCTGCTTGGGAGGGTTAGAAGAGAGAGCGCATAGTTTGGGAACAAATGAACATGGTTTTTATCGTGTAGCATACAGTCGTGTCGTGCTGTGTCGTGTTGTATTACGTGCTAGCGCCGATTTTTGGCTTGCTAGGAAATCCAAGTTTTCTCTCTTCTTTATCACTTTCCCGGCCTTTTTTTTTTTTTTCCCTCATGGTCGAAAACGGAAGGTTTGGTATAATAAACGGAGATATTTCTGATTTCATTTTCTCCTTACGTATATGTTTTCCGTCCCTCGTTTGCTTCTCTATCCTCTTAGATACCTCCTTCCTCGCTCTCGCTTCACATATACTTTCAGATATATACATATATATTCATCTTACAACTTACTGCTAGTAGATTAGTTTGTGGTTTTCCCCGCTGTCGGATGTAGTTCTCCCACGACGGACTTGCGGTAACTTAGGTTGTTAGCTTCAGATGTTCTAGTCCCGTATTTCCCTCCACTTTCCTATTTATCTGCTTTTTGTGCGGTGATGAGCCGGGGAATTGGTTAGTAGGAGGATTTTCAAATGCGTCCACGGTTAAATAGGGGATTGGGTGTCTTCTTCCATATATATATATGGGGGGATATGTATACAGCAATCCGCCCAGTCAGTATTCAAAATATATGGATGATAGTCTTTTCTGCATGTTCCCGATTTTATCCATTTGACGCCTTTAACGAGTAAACAGCCCTGGCTAAACAGAAAGTACAGTTCTAGAAGAAGAGGAGGTATCTGCACAAAACAAAAGTATACAATCCCGCAAAAAAAAAAAAAAAAAAAAAAAAAAAAAAAAAAAAAAAAAAAAAAAAAAAAAAAAGAAAAAAAAGAAAAAAGAAAGCAATCAATCCTCCGAATGCAATCTGGAATGAAACCAAAAGGAAATCTAGTAGCCAATTATACAAACATACACACCCATCAATATCGTACAGTATATACCATGCATGCAACCCAACCTCCACACCAGCTAGCATCTACATCAAACCGTCACTCCCCCGTCATCATCCCAACCTCCCTCTCTAATATCCCCACCAACTCCTCTACTAGCCCTTCCGTCACCTCTACCTGCCGATCCGGCATTCGGCCCAGCACATACTCCGCCACCTCCTCCGGCTCACGGCTCGCCGGCCGCCCAATGCCTACCCCAATGCGCGTAAGCTGGAAGCGGGTTGGGTCAAGTGCTCCCGCACTGCTCACAGCACTACCGCCGCCTCCTTTCATCTTCTTGGCCGCCCCGCGCGCCGGCGCCAGCATACCAGCCTTGACAAGGCTACTCACTACGCTTTTGATACCATTGTGGCCGCGCGCGGAGAGGGATGCGCCGCCGCGGCGCACAGAGAGTTTCCCCGGGGAAAGTTCTAGGTCGTCGTGGAGGAGGATGAGGTTTAGCGGGATGGGTTTGTTGGTGTCTTTTGCTGTGCGTTTTGTTTCACTTTGGCTTTGGCTTTGGGTTTGGCCTAGGCCGTCTTCGTGGATTATATTTGTCGTTGCCGCGCTGCTCTTTAATGAGAGACCGACGTCACCACCGATCCCACCGCCCCGTTCCGCACGCCACTTTTCATACGTCCTTATCAGCGTTGGACCGGATACATTCATCAATGATGGTGACTGCCATAGCGTCAGTGGCGTGCGTGTACGGGGGAGCTGGGTGCGGGAGGTGTATGGGCCCGGATGGTCTCGTGGGGGTGGGTTTGAGGTTAGAGAGTAGGGAGGTATTGGTTGCAAGGGAGCATCTAGATGTTGAGCTAGCGCACGGAGGAGGATGTGGCCGGCTGAGTGGAGGGTTTTATGCCATCGGGGCGGGGGGTTGCCGATTGAGGCGAGAAAGAGCGGCGGGCCAGACATCGGTCTGTTTGGGCAGAGGTGACAGGAAAGCAGGGAGGGGGCAGGGCAGCTCTTTGACCAGAAAGGAACAGCGGAGATAAAGAGACGGGTATATATATATACTCAATTGAGTGTGCTCTGCTGTTGGCTGCTCTCTGTTTTGTGCACCTTCTCTAGGAATCTTTTTTGTATCGGAGGTTTTTGCGGAGTTCATATATGGTGATTATGTAAGATGTTTGTCAGGCACCCCCTTTTTTCCATCATCCATCACCCCGCGTGAAGTCAGGATATAGAACTCAGGACAACATCCCCAGGGTATCGGGCTCTCTACCAGTAGAGCGGTGGTGCATATGCCTACACTGTCCACCAATTACTCAGGCGGTGTAAAGAAAACATGAGAAATTCCCTACACCAGGTTACAAGCAACCAATGGCTTGAGATAACACCATACCTTAGCTTTCCAGCAACTTATACCTGTTGTTGGAACCCTGTCCAACGTGTGCAGGTTGGAGCTTTACCCAGTACACAAACAGTGTTAGCCCCTTTTGTGGTCGTGAAAGGGCAAGAAGCCTACGAAGCGGTGACAGCACGCAAGTCGAGGCTAGACACATGCAATGATCTCATTGAGGATTTCTCTCACTCCCAGCGACACGTCGCATGGCATGTATGTACAGCGTCGGGATTTCAATTTTTAGGCGGGTACCGCTTCCTTTCCCCCTGCACAGTACCTGGGTGCATTGGCTGTGGTGCAGCTGGCCTTGAAGGTGATGGAGCAATGCTTAGAAAGGCATTCTCAAGGATCTTTGAGAACTGCATTTCCAGAGTTGGTTGGTTGCCTTGAGAGACGTGTGTTGTACTGTGCATAGTATGCGCATCTCTTGGTAGCTTTAAAATTTACTCATACATATGCACTATTTATTGCAGGTGCATTTAACTTGCGTATATCTTGTGATGCATATATATTATTCCCAGCTCAGATATTGAATGCTGAAATGAGATCAATCAGATAAAATCATTATCGATGTGATGAATACCATGCAGAGCAAGGCACGCGAGAGGCAGGTAGGCAGATGCTTTCTTCCGCTTGGAATATCTTGCTTGGTCGCTGGGAATATATGTACGTAGAATGTGGGGATTTGTTGTTGGGAGTTCTGCGGAAGGCTGAAAGCTATGAAAACAAGGCTGTATGTATGGAGTAAGGGCGCTTGAATGAATAAAATCCATATCAGGTGGAAAATAATCTAGGACCTGATCGACGGGTTGGCGAACTTGGGACCCAACACATTCTCTAGCTTCATTCCGCTGTGAGCCGGGCATCAATCGATGTTGATATATCTGATGGTTGGAATCTCAGCAATAGGGTGAATGAGCCATGAAGAATATTTCTCTCATAACCATAGCCATAGCTGCACAATTGGTGATACATATTTTTCCTTTTCTTTCCCTTTTCTTCCCCTTTTCCCTTGCTTTTTCGGTCTTGGCCATACCGCTCTTGTCCGTTGTCGAATCCCTTCCAGCACCACGGAGCATTCCCGTTCCAGCAAGAAAAGTTGGAAAGCTGCATGAATACACCCCGAAGGAGTCCGACCCGCATTATTTAGATGCAGACGTGTCCCGGAATATGAAATCGATATTTCGCCTCAAGGCCATGTCGTAATCCTGACACGGGCTGGTCTAATGCATAATGTAAGGGTGAATTTGCTCAGAAATGGTTTGATGAGAGAGTAGAAAACTGAAGTGGGAAGTGAGAATAGACTGCTGCAGGAGCATGAGTACGGATCGAGCCACATTAATATTAGTTACTCATCTCGTAAACAAGAAATTCTAAATTTCTTCACAGTATTTTTCGTACATAATGCATTCTTTTCTTTTTTTTGTTCCAGAACTCCGGGTAGGATTGTTGGTAATAGACGAGACGGTAAAGATGAGCACGCCCTCTCGGTTATGCCATAGAGTTTCCGCTTAGCTGGATGTGTGATGAGTGGCTTATGAAGGAAGAAGATGATTATAAATTGAGATGGGAGGTTTGCCGCTCTTCCCTTCCTTCTCACTTAGCTCTCAAAAATCATGGCGGATTGAAGCTGATAAATCCTGGTCCCGGGACAGACCGAACCTCATGGAGATTACGGACTACGGAGTAATGCATCTCAGCTTTCCAGCATCCAGTTGTTAAGCAGGCGTAGTACAGTACAGTACATCATGACGTCTAGTCATTACAAGAGCCAATCCCCAACGATTGTTGACTCCCATAAACCCCACACCAAGGCGTTGGTGAACGGACAAGAACGGAAATAATCTCCCTCCTAAGGATTTCGATTGTCTTCGAGCGTGGCACCTCATTCGTAAATTTCAATACCGCCTGGGAAATGGAACCGATAGAGTGGTCCGGACGGGATAATTTTCAGTTGCCGCAGGAATTGGAACTGGTTCGCAAGTTGACCGTGGAACGAAAAGGCAGAGTAAAATAGTCAAAAATAAAAATAAAAAAGAGGATTAGAGGCACGAACAATACAGATATATCCTGCTCGGACACCAAAGCTACTTGCTGGGTAGCACTACACAGGTAGCTACTCACCCAGTCAATTTGATCAGATAATATAACAAGGCCAGCATCAAAAATCCTCTGACGAGGACCAGATTTTTTTTTTCTTTTTTCTTTTTCCCACACCTTAACAAAGTGTGGTGTTGCTTGACGTGGCAGAATATCCCGGCAGTCTGGAAACGAGTACGGGAAGGGCGGGAAGATATTGGTGGGGGCTTGAGAATGCATGTTGACATTATTATTATTCTCACCTTGAGACGGGTCAGAACAATACTAGCCTAGTGATACTAAGAATAATAAGCCGGAGCCAGAAGGCCATCAAGATCGTCTTAACTAATCGACGCTTAGACTCAGTCTGCATAGGCCCGGCTTCATGGACGCATGGGCGCGTTTCAGCTTCGGCATCTCTGATCAAGCCTGCCGCTCAAACAAGGCTCCAATCGCCACATGCCCGCGGCTAATGAACAGTAGTGAGAGAAACATTAACTACCGAGACATGCACACCAGAGGCCGCTGTCCAAATGTCGCGTGAGAGCCAGTCCACATTCAGCCTGGTTAGCTAGGAATTCATAAGCCTTCGTGAAAATACGAGATCAACGAATTGGGTTAGTTACCTTCCGCTGCTCCAGTTGAGCTAGTTTCATTCACAGCAAGGGGGCCCATCTGGTCGGGTTTTGCATTTCCACTCCTGGTCGTTAGGCATATTATATGGCTATACAGAGTAGAAGTGTAGAAGTGAACAGTTGATGGTCATGCCCATAACCAGACAGTTAGGGCTCAGGGTTAGGGCAAAGGTCGACCCTTTCAGGAAACGCAGTGCAGACATCGCCGCATCCCACTACGGAGTTATCCCACTCGTCCACCACCACCACTTGCCAAGCTGCCATTCGCCGAAACAAGGGCCACCGACTGGCACCGAGCGACCCTAGAAGACCCAGGTCGGATTTTGTCCAGGAAGCTGGGCGTGAGATCTTCAAGCTGGTTCTTCGCTTCAGGTAATTAATTGGTCAAGAAGCTAATTTGAAACCTCACGATCCGATCCTCCCTCCCGTCCGCCTCCGGAAGCGGTCCAAAAATGGCCCGTCTATGCAGTGCTTCTTTTGGGGCTTCCATGTCCCACCGACCCGGGCCTGCGTGCCATGGTTGTGATAGTCGAACAACGACATTATTATCTACTCAAGCAAGCTGTGCTGACCCTCTTCCCGGAGCGAGAAACAGCATGTGGCAGGCCCGATTAATATCATAGAAATAAAACACCAAACCTCGTTGCAAGATTACATCTCACTTACTAAGAAGGACAGTTACAAAAAACATAAATTACCGGGGTCTGCATTGGTGGATTTAATAAATGAAGCGCGAACCATTCCCAAACTCTCTACTTCCCAAGTGCCCAGCTCCCGCTTCCGCGCTGCAGGGAGGCAGTTTAGTGGGGACTTAGACGTGTTGGTCACCCTGGGCTGCATTCTTAGGCCAGTCCGAGATGAAATTGAATGCCACGACACGAACAAGCCTAGAACAGGTTCCTGCATGCCCGTTCCCTACAACTTACAAGAATCCAATAATAATGAATAATGACGGAAGGAAGAGCGTGAACTTCGTTAACCAAGCCCCTCAGGACCGAGCTGTTGATGGATAGCCCAATGATAATGTGCAGGCCAGGTCATAAGCAATTAGTTATCCAGACAGTCGCTCCAGGCAGATTTGCAGACGAAACTGAGTCTCCGACGCGCGTTGGGGGGAAAAATAGTGAACCAGGTCCATGGGATGGATATCATAGAGTGTGTGGGAATGGGGGTTGTGTGTATCAGGTTCGAGCAGTGATTCTTTCCCAAGGTTACGCAGACAGTTTCGACTTTTCAGTATAGTTATTTTCCCCCTCAATTCACACCCATGATAATTGGCTAGATGAAAAATGTCTCATGCAACTGCCGATAAACGCCTTCTCCAGCGTCTGAATGTTGCTTGTTTTTCCTGTCGGCTGGACTTGAGTTTCTCCATGGACTGATGTACTGCTTGCTAGTGACCGGACCGGGGGTGGGATTGGAATGGTCAAGGATTCCCCCTCTCCACTTGCACGGCCGAGCCAGTGGACGCGGACAGGCCATGGTCTTGGGTGTGTGGAGAAACGGAGAGGAAGCAAAAAAATCAGCCAAAGAGGCGGAAAAAACAAAGAAGGGCAAGACGAAAAAACAAATATGAAGTAAAACGTTTTTGTGAGGGGAAATCATTTAACAAGAAGTATTCGCCCCAAGTTTTCGGGGGATCTCACAGTATCATTTTCCCTCACCACCTCTCTCTTTGGCTTCCTTAAAATCTAAAACCACTGTTATCCAATTTCACGCCAAACAAAACTATTCTCGGTAGTATCCAAGCTCACAGATTTGGCAGGGGAGTTCCGCGCTAATAATCGATTCAGCTCCACTGCCTCAGTCCCTCAGTCCCATCTTCCCGCAGTGAAGCGGACGCACCCAAACAAGCAACGAACTTTTAACATCCATCACGAATCTGCAGCGAGTGTAGCGAGCAGTAGCTATACAAAGGAGCCGACTCAACGGCACAACGCGACGCAGTGCCACTAAGAAACTGGGAAATAAAACTCCTCTCCGGTTAAATAACACAGGTGAATCATCCCTCAAGCCCCTATTGGGAACTCGCCATTGGGCCCCAAGCAACTTCATGCACGGATACCTTGATCAGATCCCAGGGTTTCCCGCTCGCTCGACCTTTTCCCGTCGCACGCCTAAAAATACCCAATTGACTAACTTACATAGCTAACATCGGCGATTAGATAAGGGAGACCCTTCCCGTGCCAGCTTAATTTGTATATATATTGCCCAGGTGGCCTGCTTCTTCGCCTCGGAAGCCCCCGCACCCGGATTGCTGGATTGTTGCAACAATTGAGAAAGAAGGGCGGGTTGCGAGGGTGCATCATATAAACAATTTCTGACTTAATTTACAGAGGTATGTTTTAACTACTATCTACTCTATTCTAAATTTAACCTTTCGTATCGTTATTTTCCTTGCGCTGTTCTTATTGTATCTCCTACGCAATGGGAACGAGTGAGAGAATAGATACATCTCATCCGCTCCAAACCTCATTCTTCTATCGTACTTCGTCCAAATTTCGGGACCCAGGTTACGTGTCCCTAAAAGTGCAAGCTCCTATACGCATACAACATGTGGAAACAGAAATAAAATAAGCAGTACAACTACATTGGCTATTATTTCGTTTATTTCCTGTCCCCTATTTTCTACTCAATATTCCTTGTCTCAGCATCAGTTCCCACTAATAAAAACATATCTGTCGGCCAGCCTGCACGTAGTAATGATATTAATCAGTGGTTTCAAAAGTTATAGATGCCCTCCTTCTCTGACTTCCGCAATACGTCCGCATAATTCCGGAGGATTCTTCCCATTCCATACTTCCTTCTAGGCGCGTGTCTAGAGAGTCATGTGATGGTTGAAGCAGGCTCATATTTAAAAATTAAACCATCCTTGGAGGCCAATATGGAGGTGGATATAGGAAATACAGAGACATATTTGGCAGAGAACGAGCCAACGTCACAAAACTACGTTCCCGAACCGGAACCGCAAAATGGCACCACGAATGCTATAGCAATAGGGTCGGATACGGGTCACTCACATTCATTATCGTTCGTCCTGCCTCCCTATATATTCCTCTTCTCAGGAACACATTCGTCCTATCTTACGTCTTACTTTTCTCTCCGGTTTACAATCCACAAAACAAATCGCGTCACAGCGCCATCCCCACTCACACAGCAAACACTTGTATAGATCCTCCAAATCCCTTTCCGAACACATAATCGAAGACATACTCGAGAATGAACGCCGCTACTGCAACGAAACCTACTTCATGCCAAACGACGAAGCCGAACAAACCCGTTTATCAATCGAGCACCAAATCTTCCTAATAATCTATGACGGCCGACTCGCCAAAACCAAGCTACCCCCGACAGTCTCCCGTATCCTAGACGTCGGCACCGGGACCGGTGACTGGGCACTCGGCATGGGCGAAATGTACCCAGACGCCGAGATCCTCGCCATCGACATCTCCGTCTTCGACTCAGACCCCATCTCCATCGCGCCGCCCAATGTCTTCTTCCAAATCGACGACGCCGAGTGCGGCGAATGGAACTACCACCACCCCTTCGATTTCATCCACATCCGCGGCCTCTCGGGCGCCATCGCAGACTGGCCATCCCTGTATAGCCAGGCCTTCAAGAACCTGGAACCAGATGGCCACATCGAAGTCGCCGATGTAGATTACACCTCCGGCCTGCTGAACGCGCGCAACGCGCCGGCCAACTCGTATCTGAGCATATTTTTATCCGCCATCCGCTCAGCGGCTGATGTGGCGGGGTACCCGCGCGACCTGTCACATTTGCGTATGACTGCGTTGGTGGCTGCGGGGTTTGAGCAGGTCCGGACATATGATATTCGGGTACCGATTGGGACATGGTGCAATGATGATGCGAGGGGGAATACGCTGGGGAAAATGGTGTTGATTGTGTTGTTGGAAGGGCTGGAGGCAGCGAGTATGCGCTCATTGACCAAATATGTTGGATGGACGCCAGAGCAGGTGAGAGATTTATGTGATAAGGTGAAGATGGAGATTGTTATGGGAGCGGCGGAGGGGGCGGTGGGGGTTGTGAAGGTGGTTACGGGGAGAAAACCGGGTATCGACTCGGCGCTTGACTAATGAGAATGATTTCATGATTAAACACTACGATTTTCTCTTCATCCATCTTAGCTTTTTCGCCCGCGCATATATCTACTTTCCCTGAACATTTGGCGGGGCAGCACTTCGTGACTATGCTTTCTTTCTTGTATTTCATTTCCTGCATGGCCTTCAGCCGGGGCGGAGGGCTGAAGAAGACGCGGATGCTTCCAATTACTTTTACAGGTTTTTCTGTTATTCATTCTGGAGACAAAGAGGGGGGGGTTAATTATATTTCTAGGCCCTGGTGTACCCCCTTTACCTCTTCTTGATATAGAAGAATATATGCTATACTCAGCGTGTGTGCTCAGCGATAGTTTAAATACTTTATGACCCACCACCATCGATCATATGGATAATATTTACAAGCTTATTCCTTCATTGGTACATTGTCATTGCAATCATCGATGGATCATCCTTTCATAGGGAAGAAGCGAAGCATCCATCGGTCAAGGCATTTGCCCCTATAATAATCATAATCATAACAATCTCAACTCCAATCACCCCCTGACCTACCCTTCAAGAGCATACCCAACCCCCTCCCCACTCCCCATTTCAATAAGCCTCTTCCGCATCCTCTCCGCTCTCTCCTTCACCTCCCCTTCTAGCCCGCTAAAAGCCGCATCCTCCCTATTAATCCAAAACCCAACCCCATGCTGCAACACAACCTGAGCCCTAACATTTTCCTTGGGCGTCTTCATATCCGCCGCTTCCCCTCCAACATCCCCATCATTATCAACCGCCAACCCCACACTCCCATGCACCGTCAACCTCAACCCCTTTGGCAGGCCATCCTCGCCCTTAACCTCCGGATCCATCGCCCCATATACCCCTCTGTGCCAAATATTGCTATCATAGAACACCGCATCGCCCGCCGCCAGCTTCACAACCAACTGGCCAGGAAGATTATCCTCGTACGGATCCGCTTCGCGCTCTGTCTGCGTGCGCGCCCGCCGATGTGAACCCGGTACAACAATCAGCGACGCATCGTCGTACAGGGGGATATTGTACTGGGCATGGGACTGCGGGCGGCCGGGCGGGGACTTCAGCTTCAGGGCCGCCAGCTCGTCTTCCGGGCCCAGCGACGGCGGGGTGGGGATGTCGTCGCGGTGCCAGCGCAGGGCGAAGGGGACGTGCGTGGGCGCCACGAGCAGGTTGAGGAGCTCCATCGTTAGCGGCTCCTTCTCATCGCTGCCTCTGCTGTTCGCTGACGACGGCGGGGGAACGCCGACGAGTTCCTCGACGATCGCGAGCACGCGCGGGGAGAAGTAGAGCTTGGCGAATTCGTCGCGGCCCGGCATTTCGGGGTGCATGAGGTGCTGCACGCCCCAGATTCCGCCCTCTGAGGCCGGCGGCGGGGTGGAGGGCCATGGGGGGAATTGCTTCGGGACTGTACGGATGTGTGGCCATTTGCCCGTACGGCCGAGGTCGGAGGCGTGTGAGGCGGCGGCGCGTAGGGCGGTTAGTTGGGAGGGTGAGAGAAGGTTTGGGATCACGACGTAGCCATCGCGTTGGAGGGCTGTGAGATGAGGAGTGGGATTTGGTGGTGAGATCATTTTAACCTGGTTTTATATATAGCTGTTCTGGTGGTATTGAAAGGGCGTGCGTTGCCTTAAAAAAAAATTCATATAATCGGGGCATATATAGTAAGTATATCAAGAATAGGGTCTGGTCTCAGACGCTGGGGATCCATGCAGGGGATATAGAGGTGTTTGTATGCAGTTCCTTGACTTCAGAAGGGTCGCGGGGATGTAACTTTTGGTCGTTTGGTATTCGGCATCCCAACTTCCCAAGCGCAGCGCTGCCGCCCCGCAATGCACACGGCTAGCTTGCCCCCTATATATAACACCCCACATTCTCAAGCTCCCGAACCCATTCCACTGGCAGCCGGTTATCTTAACAAGTTCGGCCCAAGAGATAATCTCATGTGCAGCACAAGCGATGCTAGGGTTGTATCCAGGCTGCGATTCTGGGTCCGCATTTTTCCGGAAGCCCATGTTACGTTTCACTGGGCTGTGATAGTTGCAAATCTAACTTTCTTAATTCAATGGATTTAGTGTATGATGTTACAATTCAAAGAGGATTCTGGAGCGGGGAAGGCAGTTTTTGGTATAAAAATGAAGTGGAAGAATATCCTCTCAGACATCTATCTGTATTGTTCTGAAGTCAATATCACAAGGAATAAAACTAAGGACCGCTCCCGGCTCAAGGGATGCCATATATTTATTATATTCTCTTCCTCAGCTCTTATTCTGGAATCATCCCATTGTGTCGCAATTTGGAACAATGTCGCACTTCAACGTCGTTTCTTACCAGAATATACGGGCAAACCGAGGTAGCCGTTCAAACGACCTTGCATACTCGAATCGCATTTCCGTCCACCACTGCTGAGCTCGTCAAATACGTCTCTCCATGGCTATCGTAGATCTCGGTCGTGGTCCATATCTTGTTCCTTTTTTATAAACCAGCAGCGTGCGAAATAAGAGGCGTCCAAGGTTGGGGAATGGGACATTCCTTTTGTCAACTGGGATGTAGGTTGCTGCGCTCAGGCCGGCAGACTGATGTCTGTAGAGTGCGTGGATGCGCGGATAGGGGTATTATTATCAGGGATTGGAGTAAACAAGCAACAAATATCAAATCGAGGTGAATAGCGTCGGAACAGTTAATACGCAACTTAGAATTCCGGCAGACACACCAGCGGGCAACAAGGCAGCATTCGCCACATAACATAGACAGCCAGGTATGCTCCCAAGCAGGCAAAATGGCACATAGGCCGCCGAATCCGAATGGAAATGACGTGGTCGAAGGATTTCATTGCTTCTGAGGAATGTGGAGAAAAGGCGTTGATATTCGGGCCTTGCAAGTGTAGTAGCGATGAAAGCTGGGGAAGGGCCGCAGATAATTTTAAAATTTAGAAATATTGCGAGCGTAAGGTGATAGATATGTCAAGACAAGATGTATGAATAACTCCTTTCTAATTTCTGGCACAAGTAGCTAAGAGTGAGTACTTAGGATGGAAGAGACGACAATGGGAAATGAGAGATAGCGCAAAGCCAAAAAGAAACTCGGGATATATTTCTATATTCATTAGAATCGTCAAGAAATGCACTAGGAAATTAGAAAGAAAACGCTGAATATAAAGGGAAGCCAGAGGACGACAAAAAATTAGAAAAGAAAGAAAAGAATGGGGGAAAAAAAGAAAGGGCGCATATACTGGCAGGATAGACTACAGCTGGAATTTCGTCCGCTGCTTCTCCATTCCACCCTTCCACTCCCACTCCTGTCCACTGGCCCGTTGTATACCCTTATCAACCCTCCTTAGCTTGAGTGTAAACCGCGGCCCTAACTCTTGTAAGCCAGTTCTGATTCCTTCCACCCCCTTTATCTCCTTCCCATCAGCCCCGACTACACTCTTCTCCGTCTCGCGCTTCTCGCGAAACACGTATCTGTGCCTTCTTACAAAAATGTAATCCCGTTGATTATGTAGAGTCACCACTTGCCTCCCTTCTAGCTCGGGCTGTGGAGGGAAAAGCGTCCGAAACAAATGTGCGGAGAGCATTCCAAGCGGGGTACGGAAATTATTCAAGATCAACTCGGGCCAGTGGCCTGTGGAGTTTCCGTGTCCTGGCAGTTTCTTACCCTCGATCCAGTTGCTGACGCTGAAGTGGAACGTTGGGCCTACGGGCAGGTGAACAATCGTCATCCCCGAGACGCGCTTTTGGTCTTCTTCCACAACCACCACCGCTGTGAAGTTTCGGTTTGAGGCAAATTTAGATATTTCTCTCACGGAGTACTTGTGGGCATATTTATGGGCGGAGCGGCGGATATAAACGCTATTAGGAAATAGGTCGGTGAGGAGATGTGCTTGCTCGTGCAAGGTAGAGTTGATAGAGGTGGTGATCAAAATTTTCGGCGTCGGAGGGGGTTCTTTGGTAAATAGGGTGGGAAATTTGGCTGCGAGGGCGTCAGGTGCGAGATCAAGATTCGTGCTTCTGGTGGATTGTGTAGGACTTGTTGCGCGCTCTGTTGCAGATGGTAGTTTTGATTTCCGTGTGCGCGAGGACTTATAGCCTTGGTCCTTCTCATCTGCGTCCTCGTCCTCGTCGCTATCGGAGGCGATCATGCTGTCTATCTCATCGTCTTCATTTCCGTCTTCGTCTTCGTTATCCTGCTCTTTAGTGCCACTTGCGGCATTCATTTTGTCAATGTTCTCTTGCCGTGCCTCCTCCTCCATTTTTTGTCTTTTAACCCGCTCCACATCAAAGCTCACTCCCAGTCCGTCCTCAACATCGCTCCCAACATCATCCCACACTCGTTTCCTTTCAAGCGTAAGAGGTATATTCCGTCGTAGCCGCTCAGCCTTGAGCTTTGGGTTCTTAGCCTCTTCCTTCTTCCTTGCGAATCGTTCCGCACGGGACTGCGAATCTTTGGCCTTCTTCCGTTTGATGTGTAGAATTTGTCTTTTCTGCTTGTTGCCCGGCTTATATTCCATCCCGCCGGAGGGGAGAAGCTTCGACCTTTTCGAAGGCATTTTGCGAACTCCGGGGCTGATTCTGATTCTCCCAATTGCTTCTAGATATAAGTTTGCGATGTTGTTTCTCAGCTTTTTTTGTTCAATAAATTTCCATACCGGAGAAATATTTCGCCGGGCTAAAATTATTATGAGTCGAAACTCAACCTCAAAAATACAACAAACATTCAAGCGTCATTCAGCGAAGTACCAGCGCATCGTTGTCCTTCTTCTCCACCCTCTACTATTTGCTTCTTCTCCCTTTCGTTCTCTCGTCCTGATCGCCTTTCGTTTTTTCCCCTTTGCCCTCTGTTACTCTTCTATAAGCGCAATTGTGTATGCGTCAATCCCTTGTTCAACTCTTTTCACGAGCGTTACGACCCCTCACTACCCAAGCAAGACAATTCTCCTGCACACCACCGCCGCTGAGGTTCCACGTCGTAGCCAACCCAAATAAGGCCAAAATGGCTACCAGTACTACTAAAACTGGGCAACCCCTTGACCGCCCTACCTTAGATTCCCTCCTCCGTCGACGGCTGTTTTACACGCCCTCCTTTGAAATCTATGGCGGGGTATCTGGCCTTTATGACTATGGCCCCCCTGGTTGCGCCCTCCAAGCCAATGTTGTCGACATTTGGCGAAAACACTTCGTCTTGGAAGAAGATATGCTGGAAGTCGACTGCACAATGTTAACTCCGCATGAAGTGCTTAAAACATCTGGGCACGTGGACAAATTCGCCGACTGGATGTGCAAAGACCCCAAGACCGGTGAGATCTTTCGGGCAGACCATTTGGTAGAGGAGGTGCTTGAGGCGCGACTGAAAGGCGACAAGGAGGCGCGTGGCCAAAAGGTAGAGGTTGAGGAAGAGAAGGACGCCAAACGGAAGAAGAAGGCCAAGGAGACCAAGGCTGTCAAGCTTGATGACGCTCTGGTCGCCGAATACGAGGAAATCCTGGCCAAGATTGATAACTACGATGGCGAGGAGCTCGGGCAGCTTATCGTCAGATATGATATCAAGAATCCCACTACTGGAGGAGATGTCTTGCCCCCAGTCTCGTTCAACCTTATGTTCCAGACTTCAATTGGCCCGAGCGGCGGCATGCGTGGATACCTCAGACCCGAAACTGCCCAGGGACAATTCCTTACGTTCCAAAAGCTTTTGGAGTTCAACCAGCAGTCAATGCCGTTTGCGTCTGCCTCGATTGGAAAATCATTCCGGAATGAGATTTCACCGCGCTCTGGACTTCTACGAGTACGAGAATTTTTGATGGCCGAGATCGAGCATTTTGTAGATCCAGAGGGCGGCAAGAAACATCCCCGTTTCCATGAGGTGCAAGATATGGAGTTGTCATTCCTGAACCGGGAGGTCCAGCTCTCTGGCAGCACCAAATTGGAGAGAATGACCATTGGCAAAGCTGTTGCCGACAAGATTGTTGATAATGAGACCTTGGGCTACTTCCTAGCTCGCATTCAACTATTCCTCTTGAAAATCGGCATCGATGAGTCCAAAATCCGGATGCGCCAACATATGATGAATGAAATGGCTCACTATGCCCAAGACTGCTGGGATGCAGAGCTGTTTACCTCCTATGGCTGGATCGAGTGCGTTGGCTGCGCGGATCGCAGTGCTTATGATTTGACAGTACACAAAAACAAGACCGGCGCTCCTCTCTTCGTACGGGAAACTCGCGCTGAACCACTTCGGATTGAAGAGTGGCAGATTGACTTGGACAAGAAGAAGTTTGGCCCTCGCTTTAAGAAGGATGGCAAGCTTGTCGAGGCTGCCGTCAACGCTCTGACTCAAGATCTCCGGGAGAAACTATCGCTAGACCTTAAACAAAATGGTAAGATTGAGATAGATGTAGAAGGCGTTGGCTCTGGCAAGGTCGAACTCGAGAAAGACATAATCAATATTGAGAAGCGGACGCGAGTTGAGAATATCCGGGAATATACCCCCAATGTGATTGAACCATCTTTTGGAATTGGCAGAATTCTTGCGTGTTTGATGGAGCACGTATATTGGTCAAGGCCGGACGACGAGGCTCGTGGTGTAAGTCCCCCCTTTCTTTGTTCATTCAAGAAGTAACTCGAGCTCAAGTTATATATAACATAAATCTAACATAATTAATAGGTGCTCTCGTTCCCACCAATCGTCGCTCCAACGAAAGTCCTCCTAGTCCCACTCTCCAACCACCCGTCATTCCAACCCCTTGTCCATCGCCTCACGCTGAAACTCCGTCGCCTTGGAGTGTCTAACCGAGTCGATGATTCGTCCGCGAGTATCGGCAAGCGATATGCTCGCAATGACGAGCTTGGAACCCCCTTTGGTATCACAGTTGACTTCCAGTCGGTGAAAGACAACACCTTCACACTGCGAGAACGCGATACCACGAAACAAGTTCGTGCCAGCGAGGAAGAGATTTGCAAAGCTGTCAAGTCATTGGTAGAAGGAGAGGAGACGTGGGAGGATATCAAAAATCGACTCCCTGAGTTTGTTTCGCAGGATGTGGAGTAAGGAAAGGGAATACAATACAACCTAGAATTGCTCTTTTTAAAACAATAAATAAATAAAAAATACCTGATATATGGAAGGGCTATATGATGGGACATGCTACTCTTCTAAAGACAATCAAAATAATCTTTTAAATGAGCTACAATTCTCTCCCTTTATCTCTTCCAAAATTCTCTCTCCGGAAGACTCAACTTCACGTGATAACATCCCAGTCCCGTGATCTGACGACGTCAGAAGGTTCAACCCAAAAGCAAAAGCAAGGAATCAACAACGAACAACTGGTCATATTCATCTCTGCTGCTTGACCGGACTATATACATTATTTTTTGCACATATTATGGACCAATTTCCTTTTTCCAGCCATAACTTTTGACTTGCCCTTTTGTGCATACCATCAAGACACAATAAACCAGCTGGATTCTTAGCCTCCCGAGCTCCAGTAAACAGAACATGGCTCCAGATATCCCATCCGCCAAAATCACCCTTTCATGTCCACTCTTCGGCGCGGATTTTGACCCTCGGAATAATAATTTCCTTCTTGTAGGCGGCGGCGGAGGTGAGGGGCGCAGCGGAGTTGGAAATAAAATTGCAAGTAACCTCCGAACGATCACCGCAATCTCCGCGCAAGAACTGAATATCTGGCTAATACTATCTGCCGTCGACCTTGACTCTATCCTATATAGACCTTGCTAAATACCTCCCGACGCAAAGAGATATCTGAAATCGTCGATATTGAATTATCTCGAGATGAAGATTCTGTGACCTCACTGGCCGTATCGAAGTCGAATGACAGGTCAATCATAGCTTTGGCCGGCATCAACAGCTCCCTTGCGGAGCAGCAACAGGACAATAATGAGCATCTCAGATCTTTTCGGCTAGATTACCCGCCCAGACAGGTGCCAATCGACTCCAACACCTCACCGGCAAAATCTGAAAAGGGAGGGAAGAAGCACGATGCTCAGCCTGCCCGGCCGACATCAACCCCTTTGTCGCGCGCGTCGCTGTTTGAGCCGAAGTATAAACCTAAGGAGAAGCGGGAAACATACCAGAGATTACTGCGGCTTTCGCCATGGAAGGGAGAGGAGGCCCCTCGTATTGGCGCGGTAGCTACCGGTTTGGCTCCGGAGGGGGAAATGGTCGTGTTCAATGCGACGTCTTCAACGCCTGGGGAGTCCGATATCCTAGGTCGGATCCGGCTGGAGGGCAAAGATGAAGTTGAGGATGTGGACATGCTACCAGGCAGTGAAGGCGGGGATGGGAAGTTCAAGGTGGCATTTACGGACGGGACGTCTATTTACACATTTATAGTTTCTGCTTCGACGAAGTCGAATGCGAGTCCGAAAACTAAGGCAGCCTACACCCTGCCATTTCCCGATTATTTTGCAGGGACTAAGAAGAGAAGCAAAATCCGTGCTCTCAGGTTCCTTTCCCCAACATCCTTTCTCGTCCTACTTAATCACCCAGACCGAGCGGGCTGCGAACTAGCAATAATCTCCCTCGGCCTCGCACAAGAAGGCACCGTCGTCCGACGAACCAGGCTCCCACGCGCTATGAAAATTGGCCTAGGCCTGGACGTGTGCCCGCTCTCCGAATCGGCCATGGGCACCAGACAATTCATAATTGCAGTATCCGGCAACGACAATTCAATCCAGATCCTCACTCTCGAATACACACGCAAAAGCAAAAACCCCTTCGGCAAATTCCGCCCCTATGCCACCCTGCGCAATGTGCACCCTTTCTCTATGACGCGCCTTGTCTTCTCAACGTTTACCCCACCCACTCAACCTGTGTCCGCCGACGTACGGCCGCAGGATGTCAAACTCGCCTCAATAAGTGTCGGCAATACAGTCGTCGTGCATACTCTCCCCGTGACCCCTTCTCCCCCCAAATCCCGAAATCCACGCCACGTTCTCGCCCAACCGGTGGCCTCAGAGCTTCTACAGCCACTGTTCAGCGGATTCATGGCGTTGATAGTCGTGGCACTAGGCGCATTCTTCCTACAAGCCTTCACGGAGATACGAGGTGGTGTACCGCCAACGCTTGGAGCTCAAGAATGGCTGAGTCCCAAGATCAGCTCAATGATTGCGCGTCCGTATCTTTTTGAAAACGGTCTGTCGTCACAATATCAGAAATGGCGATCACCCGCAGCGACAGATACGGCTACAGCTACAACATCCCCATCGGTATCGATCTCCGTAACGACGATGACGGTAACAAGCACAACCAACATCCCAGTCGTGCAAACAAACCCAACACCGAACCTCCGCGATTTACTTTCCTCTCTTTCCCGCGCGGTGCCAGAAGCCACCCCGACCCCAGAGACTCCCGAAGAATCCGCGCCGGGATCTATCAAGATCGTTGTCCATGAACACCCAGATGACCCATCACTAGTCACCGTTATAGCCGTCCCCCACGCATCTGGCGACGGAGACAGCGACAGGGACGGAGAAAAGGCACACCAAACACGCAAATGGGAGGATCTACATGAGCACGAGCGTGAGGCGTGGAAGGAGAAACTTAGAGCCGCAGGTCATTGGGCTGTGGAGGAAGGGGAGGCGATTTTGAGAGGTTTGTTTTTTGGGCAGGTCGCAGGAGGCATGGCGGGTGCGGTTGTGGGGGATAGGGTTTGACTGGGGTTTGGTCGTGTGAGGCGTTAAAGTTTTTTCTTTTTTTTTTTCCTTTTCCTTTTCCTTTTCCTTTTTGGGTTATGAGTCTATGAACTAGTTTTGTTGATATGGATTTGTTCGGGGCGGAAAATTGATCGGGATGGTCGCGTTTTGGGCGGGACATACACAACAACATACACTGCTCCATGGCCAAACTGACACAAGTAGGCTCTTGGAAGAAGAGCCTGAGGGAAAATGCCCTTTTTTCCTCCTCTGCTTCCTTCCCCGTTTATGTTTCTTGGAGCTTGATCATTGTACATGTACATGTACCTACGTTCTTCGTCTGATATACCTCCAACCTATCTTATCATGTTAATAACTACTTAGCCTCTCACATGTCTCAAGTTATTATTATCTCCTTTGCCAAAAAGCACTCACCGTCTTTCTGCTGTAGCATATCCAGACACTGCCGTCCCTTATTCTACGCAATGTACACTACCTACATAATGGACTCAATTGATTGATCTTACGTTAATTAGTAACTATTAACTGGCCACCACTCTTCTCCCCTACATTACTACTCTATGCCGGCAAAATAAATTTGACTCACACCTCTCGCCGTCTCCGAAATCGATGATTCGGAATGTGAAGATATGTATGTACAAACATGAAAAGCGAGCCTACGAATCCAACCAAGATATCATTTCCTGAATACAATTACTGTGGAAATATAAACTTGATGTTCGAAACATGTAGCACAGAGGAGGGGGGGGGGGAAGACACAAGACACACAAGCTATACACACAAGATTCTTATTAGTTAACTACCTACTAGAAGCAAAAAGACGGAAGAAAAGGGAAAATGACTGTTATTCATTTTAAAATCAACCCCGTCAATTCAGCTCATACATGAAAAAAACACAACGGGACAAGAGTGTAACTGTAACTCAGATGACGATGAAAACAAACAGAAATGAAGCAAAGAGCACAGCAATTATCAATCATGGGATAGAATGGGATGACGTTGGGCCGAGAATACCTAATGAGAAAGATAACCTGGCTAACTACTAGACAAGGCAGGATCAGAGGACACATAGAATATGAGAGGGGAAAATTCAAAAAAGAAAAGAAAAAGAAAAGAAAAAGAAAAAGTATATATAAAGAAACAAGAAATGGGAAAAAAAAGAATCTTTCTCATCTTTCTCATCCCAAGCTTCTGCTAACTAGAGGAAAATTGGCCTGAATTAGAGAGGCAGATGGGGATGGAGGTTGGGGGGGAGGAAGAGAGAGAAGAGAGGCTGTATGCCATAGAATAGGTGAACAGCGGGGAGTCTGCGCGGGTATGAGAAAAGGGTGAAGCGCTGGAGTGGGAGTGGGAAGAGAAAGAAAGAGGAAAGAAATTGCGGCAAGAGAATACGGGCGAGATCAAACGATTTATCTATTGAGGGTATATTTTTGCCTTGCTTATTATTCTGATACTGATGGGTCGTCGTCGGGCTTTTGTAGAGAAGAAGAGGTGGAAGGTGAGAGAGGGGAGGGAGCACGTCACGTTAACCTTTATGAATTGAACAAACGCGATCCTGATAAGCTAGGGGCGGTGGGGAGGGGATTGAGAAAGGGCGATAAAAAGGCGCGGAAGAAAAATGGGATATAACTCCGAATTAAACGCAATCAGTCAAGTATCTGTACGTAAATCAGGACACACTGGAGGAAAAAGGATGAGAATATTAGGGCAGGCGAAAGAAGAGAGGAAAGAAGCAACAAAAAACGGACAAATAGAATATGCGAGGCAAAATAAAATATAAAATAGAAGATATAAAAAAATAAAATAGAAAAAAAATAAAAAAAACAATGGAAAAGTTGCTATGCAGGGTTGTAAAATTTCCATCCGAAACTATCCATCAATTTCTGAATTTTATTTCAACTGGCCCTGTAGAAAGAAATTCCGCCCACATGCTCCGTTTAAAAAGGAAAAGGGTAAGAAAGGAAAAAAGGAACACAGAGAGCAAGAAAGAAGATATCCCTGGCAAAAGAGGTCGTGGCAGATCGTGTTTTGATTGTGGTAGATTTATGGCAAATATTTTTCCGAGGGCGTGTTCGTGCGATGGGTTGGGGTATATTGTTATTGCTTGGTTGCCCTGCGTTTTTCAAAAGAAACATATATTGTCTTCTTTTGTTCGTAGAATCTCGTTGTGAGAGGGGGTAGGGAGAGAGGTTATCCCAATTGCGCGAGTGTTCTTCCTTCTTGAATTTAGAAGGGTCTAAGAAACCGGAAGAGCAAGGAGAGAAAAGAAAGAAAAGGAGAATAGAAAGACAAAAAGAATGAAACAAAAAACACACAACAGTGCAGCATTTCCTTTTCCCTTCCACTTGAATTATCTTACTGGCCCGGATTCTTCTTGAATCGAAGCAGCTCGGCAAGGCTAGCTAGGCTACAGCCAGACCGCAGGAATTCATGAGACAAGAGCTCCTCGGAGGTGGCACGGCTCTGTACATTGACGCAGAGACACACGCTGAGGAAGGATTTCAGCTCCTTGCTAAGCTTCTCGGGCTTTTTCAAGGATGGGGTTCCGTTCGTGGCAATGAGGTATAGAGCTTTCAGTGGCTCTTCGTTGAGGTATGGAGGCTCTGATTCAATCATCTCGATTGCCATGATGCCCAGTGACCAAATGTCAACCTGTGGGCCGTATGCCTTTTGCTTCACAACTTCTGGTGCCATCCAATACGGCGTGCCGACCATGGTAGCTCGCTTACTCTTTGATTCGGTAAGTTTAGCGCAGAAGCCAAAATCAGCTAGATTCACTGTTAGTTTCGGTTGTATTCATGTATGGTGTGCTGATAGGAAGAAATACGTACTAATCTTCACGTTCCCAGCACGATCCAACAGCACGTTGTCACTTTTGATATCACGATGTATGATCGACTGACTATGGAGATGTGCCAAGCCTTTGCATGTCTAGAGAAGGGGGAAATAAATATTAGAACCTTTTCCGCGGCGAAGAATGGTTGAAACGGATGATGAGCTCACCTCGTAACAAATAGTAGCGATCTGGTCTTCCTGTATAGACGGATTATGGTCAATGACATCCGTAAGAGCTCCACCTTCCATAAACTCCATGACAACCCATAACTCGTTGTCCTGTTCCTGAAGGAAAGACTCCAGGTAGTTGACAATGTTCGGATGTGAGCTGCCTTTCATCACGATGATCTCGTTCACAATAAGTTCTTTTCGAGGTTGACTTCTCAGGTCCATCTGTTTAATGGCAACCTGGCTACGCGGGCCATTTTTCTGGTAGACCTCTTGGGCAACGTAGGATGGCGCCTTGTCATTAACGCGAGCCACATACACAGATCCAGACGCTCCCTGTCCAATTTTGCGATACTTGTGATATGATTCTTTAGGGTTAGTTCTAGATACGATCTGCTTGAGTCTCTCCATCACTTCACTTTCGGTCATGGTCGACATTCGCACATCCTTATGCCGAGACTCCGCGGGTTTCTTCGTCAAAGCAGCTTCGGCCTGGCGGACCCCATCGGGAACGGCAGCTTTGTTCGTACTGGTAGCTGTTTGTTTATTAGCAATGTTAAGAGGTTTCACTGTCTGGACAGGAGCCGGGAGGCGACTCGGAGCAGGACCTTGAGGACTAGCGCCATTGTTTTGCGTTGGCCGTTTAACTGAAGTCTGGTGACGCGCCTCTCCACCATTGTAACGACTGGTGTTCGAAGACTGTTGTGGTCGAGATCCATCTTGGCGTGGAGCAGCACGTAGAGACCCTTGCTGGCCGGTTTCGTCTGGCCTCTGTGAAGATGGTTGAGAGCCATTTTGTTGAGCAGTAGGTGGTGGAGGAGCAGGACGCTGCGCAGTCATCTGTCTCAATGAACCGGGGGTCTGTTGTCGAGTGCGATCAGCACCAGGAACCTTGGGTGGTGCCCTCGAAGGGTTATATCGATCTGGATCTGAATAGCCACCCAGTTCCTGTTGCGCAATTGGGACGCGATTCTTGGGAAGCGAAGCATTATATGCTTCTTGTTCGCGGCGATTTTGCTCCTCTTCACGCTGACGTTGAACTTCTCGGATGCGACGAGCCTCTTCGTCCATACGACGTCGCTGCTCTGTATCGGGCATTTCTTTCGACCGGTCGTCGTATGGGCGCTCTGGATCTGACGCCTTGCGTTGGGACTGTGCAGGTGAAGAGCTCTGGGAGAGATCTCCAGCACTTTGTTGGCTATCGAGGCGTTGCAGTCCTCCCTGCTGGTTTGGCCTGGGCCCAGTGATAGAATTTCCGATTGCCATCGTATTAGCACCCTTAATACCATGCGTGACATCGTAATAGTCCTGGTTCTCACGCATTTTGCTGTCGTAAAATTCCAGGGCTTCAATCACAGCCTGTGGGTTATTCTTGTAGTCCTCCTTAGTGATTGCTGATGTAGATAAGAGTTTCTCCCACTCTGCCGGAAGTCCTGTAAAGGCACCTGTCCGCGGGTCAAAACCGACATGCACGCGATGGTTGAAGTTGGTTGGGTTGGACACGCCGCCCATTCCAGGACATCGCTCGTAAATTTTGTCGATCCATTCGTAGATTTCATCGTCGTTCTTGACCTCACAGGTTATGGATTTAGTAGCCAGTTCTCGGTTAACAGAAGGGTTGCGATTGTTTGCATCCTTGGGGTTCGCTATCCGGATGATTTCGAAGGCCATTTTGCAGTCTTCCGATCGTGAAACCCTAATGACATGGCTCAGCTGGATAGATAACACCACCTTCCCTGTTTCATTCTTCAGAAAGTCCAGTCTGAATTCGCGAAGGATAAGGTAGCGCTGGTTCCAGCTCGCCAGGAATTTGTCCTCCTTGCAGCGGACATAGCCTTCCTTGATGACACTGACGCCGCCCATGCTGCTCAGATGTGTTTTGGTCTGGCTCAATGAAAGCTGGCTGGAGTTTGGGAAGACGGAGAGGGTGGGCGTAGTGGTGGACGGGGAGTTTAGAGACATTTGGGCAAAACTCGTAGCAACAGAGGAATTGGTAGATCCGCCTGTGTTGACGCGGGGGCGATCGACTGGTGGGCGCGGGGCAGGCCCTGGATTCATGAACTGGTCCCGGCCATAAACACTGACCTATTGTGTTAGCAGTGAACACGGTGTTGACATCAATTCCTGGCAGTGGTGAAGGCTGGAGTGTCGATTTCACTTTCTTATTATTGCTGGTTATTGTGTCGAGGTGGCATTGTTGGGCTGATTCACTCGTGGTAGGATTGTCCATCACAACAGCCAGCCACTTGCAGCGATGACGATCGAACAACAGGACAGATACGGGGGGGGACTTACTTGGATTGAGACGCCATTTCTGGATCACGGCAGAAAGGCACACATAGGGGAATTCACACAAGTATTATTGACGGCAGACAGAGAGAGCGAATAGGCTTATTTATTGATGGAGATGGAGGGGCGTTCCACACTTCAGTAAATAACCGCTATTTAACTTAAATAGCTATTTAAATATGATTCCAAGCGCAGAGTTGAGGGGTCAGCCAACGAAACCATCACCACACAGAGAGACAAACAAAAACGTATAAAAATGCCGCAGCAGAAGATATTCCAAAGGGGGGATAGTCTGCGTTGGGGCATAGACGAGCAGAGTAAATAAGGTGGAGGGAACGATGTCAAATGCTCGCGTGGGTTGGGTTGTGGGAAGAGTGAAGCCAAAGAGGGGTGAGTCCTCTTAGTAGGCAGGGAGAGAGTCACTTACTGACATGTAACCGGGTCGACAGAGGAGGGGTTGGTGGAAAAAGGAGGCGAGAAAGAGGGAACCAGGCAGAGGTGTCTCGCTGACAGCCTTTATCTGCCAGCGGGGTGGGGTGGAGGAGAAATGAAGAGGCGGGGGGTGCGGTGTGTCGTGTGTCGTGTGTCGTGTGTCGTGTGTCGTGTGTCGTGTGTGCAGTGGTTGTTGGATGAAGTTGGATGAAGTTTGGAGGAGGAGGAGGAGGAGGAAGCGGAGGAAAGAGGAGGAGGTTGGTGAGAGGCAAAAAGAAAGAAAGACAACTTGGACAAGACAACCACCATTTAGTGATAAAATAGTTATTTAATACAGCGTAGAACAGGCTGGCTAGTTAAATAAAATAAATACAGGCCAAACACCAGCTCGAAAGATCTGATCAGGAATCATCAAATGATCAAATGAATCTCCTTGCTCTCTAAGCATCTTGCAGCTATGATGCTATCTATATCCTTCATCCCCACCAATTATTTAAATATGTCATTTAAATATGTCGTGGCTCTGGTTACTTGCAGGTTATTTTAACTTAAATACCTTTCCATAACTAATAAATATCCCCGTGTCTCTCGAGTTCTCTGACAAGGAATTAATAATGAAAGGAGTCCAACAAATACCCCCTCAAATTCCCCTTTAACATCCATATTTATTTATTTATTTATTTATTTACTCATCAATTAAATAGTTCGAAAAAAGGGGGAGAAATTTTAAATATTCTCTTTCCCTGGTTTGCCGTCAAACCCCAGACTTGTCTAACTCAAACCATATCCAGCAAAAGAAAACTAGTACTAAGTAATAGGTAACTATGGTGAATAACTAAAATGTATGTGCATTCAGCCTCCCTATATCTATCTATCTAGTCTCAAATAATTCAACTTCAACTTGTAAGGATAGGGTTTTCCTCTTACACCTCACTATTCTCACTATTCTCCATGCCATCCGTCGCTATAATCTCCATCTACATATCTACTTAACTTAGATCCCTCCTCGCTTAAGATCTAAATAAAACAGATAAGCGCTGGCCCACGGCATTTATTAGTGATCATAACCATCGTATCCAAAATCGCATGCAGGAAGACGGAAAAATAAACATTCCTACTACACTCCTAGCATGGGGTGTTTTTTTTTTTTTTTTTTTTTTTTTTTTTGTTCCATAGCTCAGTTTCCTTCCGGCACAGGCGCCATCCACCCCCGCACCGCCAGCCTACAGTCAGTTGTCTTGACGTTCAATATATAAAACATATCAAAATCAACTAAATATTAGACAGATCAAGCAATACCCAAAGAACCGAACTCGCCTTACGGTTCCACATTTTCCATATACCTATTCTCTATTCAAAAGATACGAGTGGGCTTGCTTCTCATAGAACCCTCCCCAACGTTATGATGAAGCGGAGGTTTATGCCATTGATGTAATTGCAATTTGCTGGGGTATGTATGTATGTATGTATGTAGGTAGGTAGGTAGGTAGGTAGGTAGGTAGGTAGGTAGGTAGGTAGGCAGAGCTATGTAAATTAGCCCGCAGGTATATACATATAAACATATATACGATATTCGTAGAATAAATAAGCGGGGAGACGGATTGGGCTGTGGGAAAAAGGGGTGGGAGTGTGTAGTGAGTCTTAAGAGTAGGAAAAGGGTAAACAGATTCAGTCCATGTAGGTATAATAGACACGCGAGATGGGAAGGGAGGATGTAGAATGACGAAGTTACCGAATGCGTGACAGGGCAGTACAGTGAACTAAATCAATCAGTCGTTAAAAAGGAGAAAGATAATAAATGAGGACTTCACGGGGCGTTCATCACATCACAAACTGTCGAACCACCTTATACCACGAAATAAAAAATAGAGAGGAGCAATCTCTCCTGGCCTGTTCATCTCATACCTCCGACCCAAACGGATAATTAAACTTCAACAACCCATTCAAACCCCCCACCCACCCATCTGCCGCATCACCTCCACCACCATTCCCACCATTCCCATCTCCCAGCGTCTTCCTCATCACACACGGAATCCCCCCTTTCCACTCCCCGTTACTCTTCTGAATCTCCTCTCCCCACACCCTCACCTCCATCCCAACCCTCAACCCCTGCGCCATCATCACCCCGTCAATACTAACTTCAACCTCACGCCCGCGATTCTTCTCGCTAAGTCTTAGCGTCACAGGCGTGCTAGAAGGGATGACAAGAGGGCGGAAGCTAAGACTACGTGGACAGATGGGCGTGACCAGCAAGGACGGCACGAGCGGGTGGATGATGCTCCCGCCGCTGCTGAGGCTGTATGCTGTGCTGCCCGTGGGTGTGGAGATGATCATGCCATCCGCGACTGCTTCGGTGAGGAAGCGCCCGCCCACGTAGACCTCGACGATGGCAAGGTGTGGTTGTTTGCCGCGGTGGATGACCACTTCGTTCATGGCGTGAACGCCGCCGTCGTCGTCCGAGGGGGAGGCCATCGTTGCACCGTCGCGGTGCACCGGGCGCCCGTCTGGAGTGTATACTCCCACCCGTAGGCGGCTGCGAACGAGGATCTTTGCGGGTCTTGATGCTCCCATGGACTTTCCGCGAACTAAATCCCAGCCCTGTGCTGATGAGGGTGGCGTCGTCGACGCCGATAGGGTGTCGTCTGGACTCGCACTTTCCACACACCGCTCTAATAGAGATGCGTGGTTCCCTGGTCCGGCTCCGGACATATATACTTCCCTAAAGGCACCTTTGTATTCTGAAAACTTCCATTCTCCGAGAAACCCTAGCGTTCCCATGCTGAAAGCTAGAATTGGCGGGACTATTGTGGATGTTGCAAAGAAGGAAGATGCGCGTAGGATGGTTCCGTCACCGCCCATTGTGACTGTGAGATCGATTTTCTCTGGCGGTAGTTTTTCCGAGTCCAGGTTAGTATATACAGGGAATGGCAGCACATCGTGAACTTCCGCAGCGGTTTCGCGCTCCAATATAACAGAAATAGGGGAATAGGTCGACTTTATGTGACTGGTAGAAAAGGAAGAAAAGCCGTGTTAGTAAATCAAAAAGGTATGAGGGCACATGGAGACGTACTTTGCGAATTCAATGAGTGACTGGGTCACATGTGGTGCCCCTTTCTTTCTAACGAGGAGGACATTCTGTGGTGGTTTTGGCCACCGGAGAGCTAGGAGATCACTACCCCGCGATTCTGTTTAACAGATGTTCACACGTAAGTATGCGCACGGCCTAACGAACTGACTAGACTGAGCCGCAAGTCAAGAACAAAATAAAGCGAAAAATCGACGCACACCTTCATACCGTGGGAAAACGGAATCCGGCAGACGGCCAATATCTTCGACCTTGCGGAGATGCGCAGCTGCGGAAAAGGCACGCCGCCATCCATCCCTGGCCACAGATTTTCGTCCCCAAGCAGGAAAAGAAACAGAAACAAGAACCCGCCCAAGGCCTCTTCTTCTCACAGCCAGTTCCATTATATCTTGTATTCCGTCAGAGTCGAAAGCGGGTTTGGTAACACAACGCGCGGGAAATCAAGGGTCTAAATAGCCACAGACAAAAGTAAGTAAAAAAGGTTATGAGATAGGTTCCTCTCTGGCCCGAATGTGGAAGAGCCTTCTAACTTACAGTGAAATAGGGCCATAGTCATTAGGAAATCAGGCAGTCTCTTCTCCCTTTTCCCCCGCTCTGTTCCTTTTTTCAACTTTGCCTTGACCCTTTGTTTACTCCCTCCCACCAGCGTGCAAACACCCAAGGAAAGAGTATGAATAAATAGGTTATGACAATCCTGTTGCTTCAAGGAGCCAAGTGCGGAGGTATCATTAACATCATTATTGGATACATCAAAGAGGCAGGCAAGAGTTCATGGAATCCATAGGAGCTACTGAAGCGTTAGCTAGTGATTGGGCCAGCGGCGGGGGTGTCAAGGAGTATCGTATCGTTCGTTACTTGGTAGTATTTAATATGATTTGCGAGGGACCCACAGTGAGATTAGTGCAGCAAAGGACAGTATAGTATATCCAGTAACTTGTAAGCAGAAGACAAGAGGTAGCTATCCTTAGTATCCTTTATCCTTTATACAGCCTGTCTTCCAGTACCCATCCCATCCATGTGTGAAAAAAGACAATTTTTCCCCAAGGTTCAGTCCACCGGCCGGATCCTTAGTCAGTCCTTATGTAACTCATGCCTCAACCGAGCTGTTGGAGCTAGCTCAGGCTGTACATCCGGGTACATCCATCCAACTGTCCCCAGCATGTAGCATAATAATACTCTTTATTATTCTTCAAAAATCATGGTTTTGCAGTCTCATGTTCCACCGTGTCTTGTTCGCTGCTCCTCCGCCTTTGGGCTCTCCAAGTTGTGACCTTGCTTTCGTCGGGCCTCGAGATCAGAAAGTTGGTCCTCCCCCACCTATATCGAGCTATATCAAGCAGCTCTCACCGACAATCTTGAGCTGGCAAGCCTCGTTTTCCAAGGCATCTAACCCCTCAGCTCTTTCTTAAGGCAAGCTCGTGGTGGCCCAGGCTATTTCTTCTCGCTACCGACCCGTTTTACCCCAACCATAGCAACAGCAGATCTATATTTAACATTAACAATAATACGCTTTTAACAAACTTCCTCCCAGAAAAATACTCAAGAGTTTGCAAAGAACGACTTGCTCCTAGCTCTTAGTTTCCGGCGCCTAGCAGACAGCATGGATGGCGTCTCTGGGAAGGTGCTGGGCCACGTCCACCAACGCCCAGCGGCAAATTATGGCCTGACCATTCAAATTCTCCGCAGCCTAGCTCTCCTGACCTGGTTCAACTGCTGCTGCGTCTGCATTGTCGCTACCCAGCTCGTGGGTGCCCCTCTCTATTTTATCAACCGCCAGTACTTCAACTCCTACATGGCCATGACGAAACGCTCCTTTGGCATCGCCATCACCGCTCTGACGGAATGGGGTTGCCCGACGCCTATCCGGGTCAGTGGGGACAAGAGTGTGCAAGGCCAGTTCTCCCTGACAAAGGATGGTAATGTGGAAACCTCGTTTCCCGAACGAATGGTTCTGATTGCCAACCATCAGGTCTACACCGATTGGCTGTACCTGTGGTGGTTCTCCTACACCTCTCAGATGCACGGCCATATATACATCATACTCAAAGAGTCGCTGAAATATATTCCCCTGATTGGCCAAGGGATGATGTTCTACGGCTTCATTTTCATGGCGAGAAAGTGGATTTCGGATAAACCTCGGTTGCAGCATCGCCTCGAGAAACTGAAAACGGTCCATGAGGAGGGTAGATCTGGTTCACGGGTTCTGGACCCGATGTGGCTCCTGATATTTCCTGAGGGTACGAATCTGTCACGGAATACGAAACGGATCAGTGACGCATACGGTGCGAAGCAAGGGATCCCGCCGTTGCGTCACCAGATTCTGCCACGTTCAACAGGCTTGTTTTTCTGTTTGCAACAGCTCAAGGGGACTATTGATTGGGTGTATGATTGTACAGTTGGCTATGAGGGACCACCGTAAGACTCATTAACATATTGATAGTCAAAAAATGGTACGCAGCTAATATAAATTCGTATGATCCTAGAAAGGGCAGCTATCCAGACGCCTACTTCACCATTCGCTCGACTTATCTAAAAGGCCGCCCTCCTAAAGTTGTAAACTTCTACTGGAGACGTTTTGCCGTTGCCGAGATTCCCTTGGATGACCAAAAGGAGTTCGAGGCATGGATACACGAGCGCTGGCTCGAGAAAGACGACCTCCTTGAACGGTTTTACGAAACGGGCCGGTTCCCGCCCTGCGAGTGGGAACCTTCCTCAAACGGTGATTTACAGAAACAAAACGAAGATGGCGCTAGTGTAAAGCCCAACAACCCAAGCTATTATGAGTCTGCAGTCAAGCTAACGTGGTGGGGGGAGTCGCTCCAGATTTTTGCTGTTCTAGTTGGTCTTGGCGCTTTCTTTTGTCTATTCCCTAGGTTTTGGAGAGTTGGGACTTGATCTGTTTGTCTCTCTCATTTCTTTATTCTTTTGAATTTTCTCATGACGTGGTGTGCTGGTGGAATATATACCCTTGTTGAACGGAGCTGTTTCTTTTTGGAAAGGATATCTACTTTTCTTCCGGTTTTTGGGCTCTCTCTCGTTTTTTACCCTCTCTAATAGAGCGGTAATGATTTAAGCGGGTTAACTTGAAGCATATTTTGGGACACTCTCGTCTTATGATTTATACCAAATGACGCTTCATACCTCACATTTGAGCACTCTCCACTCGGATTTTTTTAAGAAGCCATGGGCAGCGGAACAGCGAACCAGTTTTGGTAGTCGTTGGTTTAAATAATTGTCTATTTAATAAGAAGCAATCAATACAACCCAACGATGTTACTATCTATGTTAATTTGGCTGCTAATATCGACATTGGTATTCCTCCCCATGTGTCAGGTCACGGGATCTGAAAATGTGGCGCAGGATATGCGTGGCTGGTGCCATAACGAGCCCAGCCACAGATCTAACTTCTAACAAATTCAGTGTCCAAAGAGACATGAAGCTCTCCGCATTCGACACATTCACCACCGCAGACATACTCCTATTGTTTGTGGCATGCAGGGTATCCCGGTGGGACTATTTCATTTGCCTGCATTGCAACTCTTTCTAAGAGCCGTTTGCCATTGATAATGATATAGACCTTTCCGAAGCCGGCCCTTTGACATCGCGCCTCTGTCGCCCTCTTTCGATACCTCATACCTCCCGTCCCCGAGCGGGACCTACGTCTTCAACCATGGCGCCTCTCCAAAATGGGTACACCAACGGTGCACTCACGGAGCAGAGCATGCTAACAAACTACCGCTTCTCTGATATTCCCTCCGCCATCGACATCCCCGCCTCCACCTTCGATAGTGAAGTCGAAATCAGTCTTGAAGAGCTTCCCGACGATCCCACCGAGCTCTGCACCCTCCTCGACAACGAAAAGGCCGCAAAGAACTTCTGGGTCATTATCGCGCTCGCATACGCGAAACAAAACCAAATCGATCATGCCATCGACATTCTCAATCGCGGCCTCTCGTCCCTCGCGCAGGGCGTGACGAAGGAGAAGCTGGGCCTCCTGGGATGGATATGTTGGCTATACATGCTAAAGAGCAGAGAGGCTCCCCGTGTCGCTCCGGAAGGTCAACTGGTGTCTGAGGCGAAAACCAAAGATTATTATCTCCAGGCTGCTACATCTACTCTAAACGAGGCATCGCGGTTAAATCCCGCATTCCCTCCTCTTTTCCTCGCACGGGGCGTTTTGTCGATATTGCGCGCTTCGTTACAACCTCCCGCAAAAACTCTAAGACCCGGGACAGTCGATACTTCGGAACGAGTAGAGTCCTTGCGCCAGGCCCTTAAATGCTTCGATGAGTCGGCAAAATCGTTCGGTAACCGGAATATCATGGCCATTCTTGGGCGGGCGAGGGCGCAATATATGCTAGGTAGATATGCGGAGGCACTAGAAGGTTATCAGGAAGTTCTGATAAAAATGCCGAATATGAGAGATCCGGATCCGCGGATCGGGATTGGGTGTTGTCTATGGCAACTAGACTTCAAGGAGCAGGCCAAGACGGCTTGGAGTCGTGCTTTAGCTCTGGTGCGTTACCTTTTCCATTTAATTTTATCCAATGAAGCTATGTCATGGGAATTCTGCTAACAAACGTGTCCGATAACGCAGAATCCGGAATCAAAAGTTGCCAATATCCTTCTGGGAGCTTACTATCTCTATGACAGTTCTCGACACGCAACCAACGACCCCGCTTTCGGCTCGTTGTACAAAATCGCAATGACGCAGTATACACAGAAAGCATTTAAGCTGGACAAGGAAGACCCCATGACCTGCGCCATGTTTGGCGGCTACTTCCTGCTCCGCAAACATTTCCCAACCGTCGAAGCGCTAGCCCGCAAAGCGATCGAACTTACTGATGTTAACGCGATTGCTAGTGACGGATGGTATTTACTTGCACGAAAGGAGCATTTTGAGGACAACGCAGCAAGAGCCAACGAGTATTACAACAGGTCAGACCAGGCGAGAGGGGGTAGCGATAAGGGATATCTGCCCGCGAAATTTGGCGCTGTACAAATGCAGGTGAAGACCGGTGACTATGACGGCGCCAAATTTCGTCTAGAAAAGATCATTCAGCAGACGAAGAATCCAGAGTCAATGACGCTGTTAGGCGCGCTCTTTGCCGAGGAAGTGTTTGCAGCACAGTCTAGCCAGCTTAAGGAGGATAAGTCGGCTGAAGTGAAGAAAGCTACCAGCCTCCTCGAGTCAGTACGTGCGTCGTGGAAAGATGAGAAGAAAAAGCTTTCCCCTGATGAGTCTGTTCTACTTTATCTTGCGCGGCTGTACGAGAGCGGTTCACCGGATAAGAGCATGCAATGCCTGCAGCAAGTCGAGCAGATGCAACTGGCTCAGATCCCAGACACTGAGCGGCCTGAGGATATCGATGACGAAGAGACCGTAAAGAACATGCTCCGGGAAAATTTGGCTCCTCAGCTGCTGAACAATATGGGCTGCTTTTTGTATCATTCTGAGAAGATTGAACTTGCACGGAACATGTTTCAAACCGCCCTCAATGCTTGCGTAAAGTCTCGTGATAGAGATGATTCTACCGATACAGATGCACTTGTGACTACGATTAGTTATAACCTCGCCAGAACTTATGAAGCCGCAGCTATGCCGGAGGAAGCGAAAAAGGTCTACGAAGGTCTACTCGAAAGGCATAGTGATTACACGGAAGCCAATGCCCGATTGACGTATATTGCTCTCCGCCAAAGCCCAACAGATGAAGGGCCGAAGAAAATGGCCAAATTATATGAGCTGGAATCTACAAATCTGGAAGTCCGCGCTCTGTTCGGCTGGTACCTGAGCAAATCGAAAAGAAAGGTGGCAAATATCGCCGAAGACCATGAACAACGTCACTACAAGCATACCCTTCAGGGCTACGATAAACATGATAGGTACTCGCTTACAGGAATGGGCAACATCTACCTCCTTGCCGCTCGAGACATGAGACGTGATACGGAGCAGGATAAAGAGAAACGAAGGAAGGTGTACGAGAAGGCTGTGGAGTTTTTCGACAAGGCGCTACAGCTTGATCCGAAGAATGCTTATGCGGCGCAGGGAATTGCTGTTGCGCTAGTGGATGATAGAAAGGATTACACGACTGCGGTACAGATATTCTCGCGCATTCGAGACACTTTGCGTGACGCTAGCGTCTACCTTAATCTTGGGCATGTATATGCCGAGCTTCGGCAATTTTCTAGATCCATTGAGAACGTAAGTGATTTGACTTCCTTTGAAGGAAAAGGTTGCCGTGATTTGATGATTTAACTAACATAATACTAGTATGAGGCCGCTCTATCTAAGGATAGACAACGCGATACCCAGATCCTCGCATGTCTCGGCCGTGTCTGGCTGTTGAAAGGGATGCAAGAAAACAACCTGGCGGCAATGAATACCGCCTTGGATTGTACACAACGCGCTCGCGCCATTGCTCCCGAGCAAATCCACTTAGAATTCAACGTCGCTTTCGTCCAAAACCAGATCGCCCTACTTGTCATTTCTCTCCCGGAATCCCAGCGGACACTCCAAGACGTCCAAGCCGCCTCCGACGGTCTCGACGAGGCGATCAATACCTTCATCCAAATCGCTAAAGCCAAGCATCCACCTTATCCCCGTAGTTCCTTGGAGCAGCGCGCGAACATGGGCAAGAATACCATCCGCAAAAAACTCGAGCGGACGCTACAGAGCCAGAAGGAGTACGAGGAGAAGAACGCGACGAAATTACAGCAGGCGCGAGAGGCGCGGGAGGCTGAGTTGCGGAGACGCGAAGAGGAGAAGCGGAAGAAGGAGGAGGCTGAGTTGGAGCGGAAGAGGCAGATTGCTGAAGACAGGCAGCGGTTGATTGAGGAGGCGCAGCGCGTTGCTGCGATACGTGCGGAAGAAGAGAGGGCTAGGGAAGAGGCAGAGTATACCACCGACTCTGAGACGGGGGATAAGGTGAAGAGGAAGAAGAAGGCGGCTGCTAGTAAGCGGAAGAAGAAGGATGGGGAGGATAGTGGCGCCGGGAGGAAGTCGAAGGATCGGAGCACGGGCCCGGAGAGTGGGGTGGATTCTGACGCGGAGGATCAACCTGCGCCACGGAAGCGTAGACGCCTTGAGAGACGGTCTACTGCTAGGTCTAGTAAGTACAAGAGCAGTGAGATCGTGGTTGAGTCGGAGAGTGAGGAGGGTGAAGAAGGTGCAGAGGTCGAGGCCGGGGGAGCGAATGGGGCTAGTCATGACGTTGGGTCCCCCGTCTCGGATCGCGATGAGGATGAGGATATGCGTGGTTCTGCCGCTGCTAGACGAGATTCCGAGGATGAGGATGAGGATGCCGTTGTTCAACGGCGGCGGAAGAAGGTAACTCTTCGCATTGAGGATGATGAGGATGAAGAGGAGGGAAGTGAGGAGGAGAGTGGGGCGAATAGGGCGAGCTCTGCCTCACCCGCTGAGGAGGCTAATGACGAGGATGATCTTTTTGGAGATAGGAGCGGAGATGAGGCTGTGGACAGGGCTGGTAGTGATAAGGAAGGGGATGGAGGTAAAGATACGGAGATGAAGGATCGCGCCTATGAGGATGATGATGAAGAGTAGGTTATCTGTTTGAACCAGTCTCATTTCCATCCCTGGGCGGTATGAGTAGCGAAGCGGAAGGATTATACATTCTTACACCCTATCTCACTGGGCCTCAATATGAGCGCTCTGAATCTGAAAATGTGAAATTATTCACAATGCTTCTCGCGACCTCCCACCCGGATCACTATATATACCTAGAGCTTCTCATTCTCCTCCATCGCCCCTTTTTTCCCATCTCATAATCGCTCTTTACGTTGTTTCCATGCCCATCCTCCGCTGGATTTATCTATTTCTTCATTATAAACATGGCCCGGCGTATTTTAGTGGTGCTGTCGGTGCGGTTAAATTTGCTAGTTATCAGTTGGTTTGAATTCCCATTCCCATTTCCATTCATACTTTTTGTCTTTAGTATTATATTATCCCTCCTTCATGCTTCCTCTCTTTTTTCCGGATTTTCAAGGTATACTCTGCCCAGCATCTCGCTTTATTTACTCTACATTATCACTATTTCTAGGTAGTTAGCAATGAATGGAGATTGATTCAATTCATTTTATTATTGCCCCCTATCACACTGAATTCAAAAACACTTGTGCCCATCAAATCCTAAAAGCTCTCTCTAGCGGCTGTCGCTCCCGTATGCATGGCCCAATGCCAATATCAACACTAACCCTGCTTGCTCCATTCCTATGGCCGGGATCTTCGGGCCGCCAGCTTAAAGCAACAATCACTAGATTGGATGCCTTGTCTATCAACCGTCACAGGAAGAAAGAAGTGCATGAAGATCTCTGTTAGAGGCGGGGAAGCGGGTTGACATTGCTGGTAGCTTTCGTTCGGATCCAACTCTCCTTGTTACATGACATCCATGGATCTTTGATTGCTAAGGATATAGAACTATTGCTGACGTACTCTCTAATTGACTACTACTCTTTGAAGGCTATATAAACCGTAACAATGGCAGACAGGCGCCCTGCGCCCATCACCACCATCACCAAGGTCGCCTATTTCGACACCAAGCGGGCTGCCACCGACATCCCGTACGCGCGGTCATTCAGTTCCTCCCCCTCCTTTGTCGTTTATTCGGAAAAATTCATTCAAGACGTTATCGGCGACAATCCGCTACTATCTCTCGTCTCGTCCCGCAAGGATACAAAGGACCAATTCGCTCACGAAGCCGGCGTATACATCCGCAGCACAAACAGCATCTACTTCACCTCAAACTACCAGACCAGCGACCCCAGAATCGACCTCTACGCCATAACCGCCGATACCTGGCAAATTGAGAAACTCACCTCTAAACCAGGCTTTGACATCGTAAGCCAGCCCAATGGCGCCTGCAATTACCAGGACAAAGTCCTCTACTGCGCGCAGGGCGATATTCATAGGGGAAAGAATGGGGGTGGCAGCAGCCAACCATCCGCCCTCACCCTCGTCGACCCCGTCTCCGGCACCGCAGAGACGCTCCTGAACAACTTCTACGGCCGCGAGTTCTCCTCGCTAAACGACGTGGTCGTCCACCACGGCACGGGCGACATCTGGTTCACGGACCCGACATACGGGTATGAGCAGGCATTCCGCCCGCCACCCGTACTGCCCAAACAGGTCTACCGCTTCCGTCCCTCAACGGGCCAATGCTGGGCCGTCGCGGATGGGTTCGATATGTGTAATGGCCTCTGTTTCAGCCCAGACTACACCCTCATGTATATTACGGATACAGGCTCGATACAGAGTCATGGAGATATACGGGATGGACATAATTTCTCAGTCCGGGGGACATTGCCGGCTTCCATTTACGTTTATGATGTGGTTGAGGCGGGGACGCGATTGGCGAATCGGCGGCTGTTTGCCTTTTGTGATAATGGGGTGCCGGATGGGATTAAGTGTGATGAAAAGGGGTATGTATATTCCGGGTGTGGCGATGGTGTGCATGTGTGGGACACTGAGGGGAGTTTGGTGGGGAAGATCGTTGTTGGGGCAACTACGGCGAATTTTTGCTTTGATGAGGAAGGGATCTGGATGTTTGCAGAGGAGGAGCTGTGGTTTTGTAAGCTGAAAGCTCGAGGGGCGTTGCTGGGGGTAAATTGGAATGGGTGAGTGAAATACTCAAAGAGAAGAGAGAAGGGAAGTGGGCTTTTATGGTCATTAGCTATTTAGTTTGAACAACCCCCGTATTACGGACATTTTCAGCTCAGACAAGACGGTTTTTAACCACCCATCGCTTACAGATTGTAGGCACATTCCATGGCCTAGAATCGTCCTCTTGAAACTATTACTAGCCCAGCCCATTCCGATGCCACAGAGTTAAACCGAATTCAGAAGCTAGAACTAGACAATTACTTTCTAGAAATTTCAGGGTCAATCATTGTAGGTTTCTATGAAAGTATATGATTGTAATATATGCCCGGGTATCGAACTAAATTACTGCGGACTAGGGTACATTAGACTACCTGGATGCGCGAAAGGATCTTCTTAACTTGCCCCTAAAGTAATTCCCATCACTGCCAGTACCTGACGCTGTTTCAGGGGAGATAAACGAGGTTGTCACTATCTTGCACGATCATCTCTTTGAGAACATGATCCAAAACATATCCGCATTTCTCCGCAGGATATTGGAGCAAGTTCACAATTCGAGGGTCTTCGTTGTGTTCGAGGAACATGCAAATTGCGAAACATTCTGAAGAAACCCTGTGATATATCCACCATTGATCCTCCTCGCACATTTTCCCAAGCCAATGGCTTAGTATTAGGAGTGCTCTGGGGTCCTTCTCCTGTAGGAGCTTGGTGTAGACGGGTTCGAGTCTTCCAATGAAGGTTATCAGCTTCCCAAAATTGTTTCTGTCGGCTTTGAGAGGCAACATGGGGCTGAGCATTCGAAGGGGCCAGTGATAGGGGTTGGATTCTTCCGTGGTCGTTTCGTCGATCTCACATAGATCTGCAAGTTCTGGATGCAATCCCTCCCGGCCGGGAGAGTTATTGTTAAAGCTGTGATTCTCATCATCGGATTCCATGAAGGCTTCGAACCAAATACTTTGTTGCAATTGCTGTATGGAGACGGCTTCGAGGATATATCGAAGCCCAGATTGGCCTAACAGCCAGGAGAGTCTCGTAGGGTCCGATGAAAATATCCAAGAATTAGCAGGTTTACACTCCTCTGAGCTGAAAATAATGGTACCCAATAACATGCAAGTTGACATAAGAGGGTCCATATTGTGCTCGTCGATCGGCTTTGAAATTTCCTTGCGGTACAATTTTAACGCATTCTCCCAATGGATTGCTGCGGCTATATCAAATGATTTGTCATGAGGCAGCAAATGGCGGAGGTGTGTTACTGCGACACCAAAAACGGCGTGCATGAGGTATGGGTTCTAATATAAAACAAGTTTTAGTAGCCTGCACGGGAAACGGACGAAACAGGAGATCGATCGCAAAGTACCTGAAAAGCCAATTGCATCATTTTACCGCTCATGACTACCCGATGAGCATCTGACAAGGAAGATGCATGCGCGGCCATAGTTATAAAATGATGAAAAAACTCCACGGTTCTATGGCTTATTGACTTCATCACCGGGAGAAAGGCCTTATCAGTGGACGTATCCAGTTGCAGGACCCGATTGATTTTATCAGCTAAGTCGTCCACAGACATCGAGAACTGCACCGATGAAGGCGGAATATAGGTGCCAGCGGCCATTTGATAAGATTCCCCGTGCGTTATCGGTTGATGCCGCTGGACTGCTAATGCGGAGTAATCACAGCTTACCCCATACATCACACATCTTTGACAATTCGGTTTCGTCTCATCACACTTGAAGCTAGTATCAGCATCTTTTCCATGTGCAAAAGAGCTCAGTGGAACGGATGCATTGGGCTACTCCTGAGCTAATGATGCCAACGAGACATTGAACATACCTTGACTCTCCTTTTCTTGCAATTCAAACATCCAGTTCGAGACTTGCGATGAGGCCGACGGGCATGATAGACGGTTTCCTTAGGTTGTCGAGAAGGTCTATATGGTTCTTTAAAGCGGAAAATTAGCTGGTTTTTGACGAGGCGACTCTCCATTATAGGATGATGTTGGTCACTTCAAGTCCTCAAAAGGGAGTTCTGGCAAACGAGAAGCGATTACAAAGGATGGGAGCAATCAAGGCACCAGATGAAGCGCTCATATCAACTTCCAATATAGGCAGCTAAGAAGTAGTGTTCTGACTCCTGCAAAATGGGTCAAGTACCTTTTCAATGTTCAGAAAGGGGCTATGCTGTGCGCCACTGATACTCTTCTCGTCTTCCTGTCCAAATGTCACCAAAAAGCTGTTGATATCTGTCATAGCCCTCTGTAGTATAATCTGCCTTGCGAGAAACTGGGCCGAATCATGAGCCTGAGTGGAAGCCGGCAGCCTCGCCATTGTAACTGACCCGATGAGCTTCTAGATGCAATCACTCTCACATATCTCGGCCACACGGCCACTAAACTCGTATTCAGTTGTGTTTCTTGTCCAGCTTTTGCAAGGCTTGAAAAATAACAACAACACAGGGAGGCTGAGCCTTTAACTGTAATTTTGTACTAATACGAAAAGGGAAAGGGCTCACTTTTGGGCAGACTGGGCAAAATAGTTTAAATTGACGTTTGTTGCAAATCTGCCCCTCAGGCGGGATTGTAGTTCATACCAGATAGAAAACAATTCGTATACATGGTTTAAAAAGGTTACGTTGCACTCAGCCTCATCCAGAGCTATTTTCTACCTATCTAATTGCTGTTATATATATATATATATTTTAGCATGGAGGGCCCTGCAAGGCGCAAGCACCTGGGACTAGCTTAAGGTACCCCGGCGACGATTTCCGCCGGCAAGGCACGGCTTCTAAGTGGAAGTCCGCCCAACTGAAATGAACTTCTTACAGTCGCGGGTTGGATGATAGCTAACCATCGGAGACAATGGTCTCGCCATGTATGCCCCGCCAGATTGTGTTAGCAGTAAACGTGCACACGACATTCTCCCCGGAATCAGGGAACAGGCCTAGGGAAGTGAAGATTGCTTATTTCTATCTGAACGTACGTGTCCTTTATGGCACGAAGCGGCGAGATAAATTTCTGGTACTTCATTTTATACATGGGGTTTTGCTATATGTTTGGAAGTAAAGGCTTGCGCCATACAGAGCTGGACTTCATTGGATTATTTAATGGTGGCACAACTAATGCAAATGAATGCCTAATCCTCGTATCCCATAACTACCAGTATGATTTTTATCATACTACGTATGCTCCCTCTATTTTTATTGTCACTGTCAACTGTGCGGCTAATCTGGACCATTAGGCTGGGGATGTGCGGCAGGGCTTCACGAACGCAAACATTCGCATTAATGATTATCTTGCTTCTCTCTAGTGACTACGATATACATTGGCTTATATGGAGGTGACCCAACGCTTATTACTGCGGTTGGATATGACGCAGGAGCTAGCATTATCACCACGATGCTTACGAGTAATGGCGGACGTGGCAAGCTGCCATTTTCGAAGGTAAATCTTCCCCTCCTTCATGTCCACCCTTATCACTTCTAATAGAAGCATATTACGTTAATGCGAACTTCTAGGGCGATTTTATCTTCTCCCAATATCATACCACATCGCGGGGTGATTGTCTGCTGCAAGCAAATCTATGAAGATATACTTGAAGTTACAAATTGCGAATTCGATTTCTCTTCTTAAGGATTTTCCTGCGGACAAGATCGTTTCAGCTGTCAACCATGAACTTATCGCTTAAGGGCATAATATCTGCCGTGGCAGGTTAGTCAGGTCAGTCCCAGATAGAGGCTTTGGGCTAATTATTGACGGCGCCTATATTCCCGATACATCCTAGATCTTATATACGCAGGGCCCGTTTTCACCAAGCTATCGCGGTGGAATCTTCAAACACACCCCAAGGAAGCCCATGGGATATCTTCGGACTCTGGGTTCCCAGAGAGGTTTCCTGCACGTGCCGGAGTGATGTTTCCGGATGCAAGTGACGCCACATTCAAGCGAATTCACGATCTATTCCCCGTGCCATTGAACCAACCGGTGGAGACTCTAGCGCGGGACCGGGTCACATCTGCGCTGGCAAATTTGCTAATTGCAGTATGAGCAGGCCTCCTGCATGTAAACCAAAGAACCACACCGACTAAAGATGAGGACGTCGCCCTTCAATTCCAATCGTACATTCGGAGATTCGTTACTGGAACTGGTGCTGAATTACCTATATATCTGGGCTCGTCTGGCTGGCCTCCCGACAAGCGGCTGATATTATAATCGTGAAGGCGGAAGCATTGGAACTTACCCGCGACTCGTGGAATGCTCATGGAATCAATGAAACATTGATAGATACTGCCTCTAGACTTTGAGAGTGGAGCGTGAGACGGTGGAGCTGTATCTGCCTCGTGTGCATGAAATTACGAGTGGCGAATATTACCGAAGACAGACCGAGACAACAATGATATTGAATGCTAATTATAGCGTTAATTTCTATATTATCATATCATTTCCGTCGACATTCGAGTGAGCGACATTCACCCAAAAAAAAAGGGGGGGAGTTGGTGGTCGAAAAAGGGGGTGGCGCGAACCATGACACTTTCTTAGTTATTATTTTGTGTCTCAAGGTATGCCCAGAGTACTGCAAACACGGCACAGTGGTAGAGTGGTTAATACGTGAGACTCGAATTCTCCAAATGTGGCTAGTTCGCATTTGGTAAGCTTTAGACCATCTCATGCCTTCGGGCGCGTAGGTTCGAATCCTGCCTGTGTCGATTCTTTTTTTTTTTCTGCATGAGTGTTTTCCTTGTTGACTCTGAACCTACTTTCATCTCTACTACTATATTGCTAGAATCAAATCAAAGATGAAGGAAGAAACAGTCAATTAATCAGATATTGAACAAAGCTTAGAAGAAAACAGTAAAAATTAAAAATTAAAGTTAAATAAATAGTCTTCAATTATTAATAATATAATAGAATTTTACAATTTCAATTCTTATTTGAAATTATATTGTTTTGAAATTTTAATTAAAATTCTAGAAGAGCATCAAAAAAAAAAAACATACAACAGCCGGGATTCGCTGGTGGTCACCCACCCAACTACTAACCGGCCGGCGAGTGGCTTAAGTACGGCTGAGCGGACGGGAAGCCCTGCTTTCCACTCCCTATGGTCGTATGTGTTTGTCCACCAAATGATTACCCCATTTATATCATAATGAATCTTTTGAAGAATGAAAATTTTTACACCTATTTTTCTATTTATATATGAAATATATAAAAGATAACTAAGTACTCCGTATATTAGATATTACGGACGGACTCAGGTTTATTCTTTTTCTTTTATTTACCAAGGTCCAATACGGATCTCAGTATTTTGTCAATATTTTTAATTTAGTTTGCGCTGAGCCCAGCCCGTTTCCTGAACATTTATTTGTCCAATATGAGGTATCAAGGATGAGTATTGACATTTGAGGCATTTATCAGAGAATGGCATATCTACAAATCATGAATTCCCCCAGGTTATCAAAGTATTGTGACCCTGTCAAGCTCTGATAGATCCATCAGTCAGTGTCTTCATAAAGGGGGCTGGGGAAAGAAATTAGCTGTTTAGTGGCTAGCCTTCTTCAGACTTTTCAACAAATCTTAATTCTAACCCATTCATTGCTCCATACCTAGCGACTTTGTCTGCCAGACATGAAAAAACATCATCTCACTACCTCCACGGAATTGATATACAAAAATTGTACCCATAACACCTGGGCAGCATTATCGGGAAGCGCTCTTCTACTCCGTTCCATGTCTGTAAAATGCGGCTGCATGAGAGCTTCTAGCACCATAGGCAAGGTTGGCGGGTCTTGCGTAGGCAGGCCATTGTCTCTCGCCGGGACGCTTATACCTCCGTCTATCGCCATTGCATCGTGATCTTGGAAGCGCTCCGGAACCTAGGAAATGGAGCACCATTGTGCGCACCCACAAAGGGTGGTGTAGTTGGACCAAATGCGTTTCGAGTCTGAATACGGGTCCTGCAGGATGTATCTGCTCGTAGCGGTCCCCTCTACCAGGATGATATGCTACGTTACTTGAAGTAATACCGGGGGAGGGAAGCGAGCGGATAGAGACGATAGGATTGAACATGAGGTTGGTATGCGAAGAGACATTAGGCTTTTACGAGGTGCGTCTTTCCTCGCTTTCTAGATGCTTCACCGAGGCCTGCGTTGTGGAAATGCGGGGGATGCTCAGGTTCGCCTTGATTAATTCCAGGCTTCAAGGCTTGAAGAGTTCTAACGTGACGAAGGCCACACAGCTCGTGTGAAGACTCACTCCCATGGAACGCACAATGGGAACGGTAGCATCATTTCATCATCCCAATTCTCTTGAGCACACACATCCGCCAAACCCTTCGAGCTCTTCGCCATCCGAACCACCCGCATCCACAGCCGTCAGTGAAACAGTGCGCCAGAATCCTGAGAAAAAGGAAAGGACCAACAGGATCAGAGCGGAAAAATCACTGTCAAACTCTAATTACGAGGTTGCCAGCCGAATGCCAAAAACCCACGAGGATTACATTTGCAGGGTGCAATTAATAGTGGCCCATGTCTCATTAGCTCATCCTCTACATTCAACCCCCGCTACCAATTCTTCAGGCGGTTCCAGGTCGTGCTCGGGGGAACAAAGGCACTAAAAGCTCCATGGGTCGCGGTGCAATACCCCTCCTCAAAATGGAAAATACATGGGGAAAAAAATGAAAAAAAATAGCATGAAGCGAAAAGGAAAAATGCACTGGCTGTGATTTAATTATTGGGACAAATGCCACGCTTCTCCTTTTTGTTGGGCTTTTCTTTCTGCGGATTAATTAAAGGTAAGGGCGAATACCCCTCGAGACTCTTTGTTTCAGCGACATGCTCATGCACAACAACACCCTGCATTTCCGTTCATATGAAAAGATGCATGGAAGCGGTGACACCCGATGATTTGCAACTATAATGCATTCCATTGGGGCTACCTATGCGCGACTTAAAAGGAATGGAAATGAGGAAATTTTACGTTAAATTGGATTCTTAGGCACATCAAATGGCTGCTCATTGATTCATCAACCGGCAATAATGAAGCAACAAAGTGGGACAGATAAATACATCAAACCGGGGCACAGGATCCATGCCAGAGTCGAACGGGCAAACTATGAAAAGTGAGCGTGCAGCATATTCGCCGCTGAATATAAAAAAAACCCCACTGCTCCCACTAGAAAGAAAGCGTTATGCTCTAGACGAAAATCACATGGCCAAAGAAGGGAGTCATATGGAAGTTTGGCTGATCAGGCGGGCTCCAAGCACCCAGTTTTTGATCCGGGAATGTCTCCGGGGAGGTGATGGTGCGGAAGAAATTCATCCGCCAGCACGTGCCTTGAAGACCTCTCTCGGGCACGTTAAAGAGCGCAAGCGGGATCTGGACTTCAGACTTCCAGGTCTTCGCTCTGCGATTGAGTGTGGTTTCGGCAAACATCTCGTTCCCGAAGGGATCAGAAATGAAGGCATGATCCAGGGGGGTGTTTGGTGCGCGCACACGCGAGGGATTGTAAATGAACGACTGGTAGGTGACGTTATTCGGGTTTACTTCGAATTCGAGGTATGTCTGCGGTGCGTCGTCGCCGCGCTGTATGAACGCCTCCATCACTGAATACTTCCAGATGTCGTCGTTGGTGCCCTGTTTGGGGTCGAAATGGAAATCCTTCTCATCGTATGCCGTGAAGGTCAGATGGAGCATGGGGGAGATTTTGGAGGTTTCACTGCTATAGCAGAGGTCGACTTGAGTCTTCGGGAATTTCAATCCCTCGGGGACTGACTTGTCGAAGACGACCTTGCCTTTCCTCGGACATTCGGGAACCGTGACAGATGGAAGTTTTTGATCGCGACCGTGATCGCTCAGGACTTCTGCGTCTACAGAAACGGTCATTGCCGCCCCTAGGGCGCAGAGGAGGAGGGAGTTGAGGAGCATTATTGTAGCTGAGTGGATATATGTAACCAGAGTGATGGATTCTGGAAGGTGCTGAAGTGACAGGAGGCCGATGAGATGAAAAAAAAAAAGAACTTGCTTTCAGTTCCCGGACGGGCTGTCTCATATATATAGCGCCAGGTAACGAGCTCTTATTGCATGCTGATCCCAAAAGCAAGCGTGGAATATTAAATCCGGGCCTCTCCTTTGTCAACGTTACAGGGTTCTGTAGTGTAGTGCGGCAAGACACAAGGTGCATACATACAGAGCGATTGCATGTAGCATAGAGCAACGCGGATTTCGACTCAAGGCATAACTGTCTGATAGCCTTCCGCAGCATGGCACTATATCCCGCCACAGCCGGGACAAACGGTTGTGGAGCCGTTCGTGGCTTGAGGTGTTGTCTTGACTGTGTTTTTATACGGGGTAAAGTAGCATCCATATCCATCTCGGCCAGCTCCAACTTATACCTCTGGAGCCTGCGGCGCTGCCAATGGATGCTATGTTCCGCGTTGAATGTAACTTCAACAAACGTGAGAGAGGGAGTTCTCCCCAGTGGTCTAGTGTCTACTTTTGTCGGGCAATGGCTCGCCTTGTCTTTCCCTCCTTCTCTCTCTCTGTATATCCGCCAGGGAAGAACTTCATAACATTCAAGATTCCGGTTCTGGCTGATTTCACCTGAATGCAATGTGCATACGGAGTACAGAGTACATGACACACAGTATTATGCAAAATGTAATTAGCACATTCATCTCAAGATAAACTAACTATATGATGAGCCAGGGTCAATTGTTAATGGCTCAGCGAGGCAAATTCCTCAGCTCCTGTATTCAGACTGCATATCTAGAGCATCCTCTCTGCATACATACATACATAGTTATGTGATCTGAAAATTTATCCAATATGATAGGTAATTTTCTCATTATTGGCTAGAATAGTGTTTGCACATCCAGCTAGTGTTGATCACATCTTCTCTTCTGAATTCTAGTATGGCTCTAATGTATGAAGTTACTTCGCAGCATTCCTCGTACATCTTCATGATACTGATAATACTGCCTGCTTGGTCCCCTTTTCCCTTTTTCCCTTTTACAAGATGTAGTTCAAAAAATGGTAAAGGATTATCAAAATAAATACTCTACAGGATCAATTTGTGTTGAACAAAAAAAAAAGAACTCGGAAAGAAAATTGGTTTAGATATAAATAAACAGACAAACTAAAAAAAAACAAGCCGCGATGTTAAAAAACACTTTCTAAGTGATTTTACATAGAAGGTCGACCAATTTTATATCAGTAACCTGCTGTTCTCAAGTTTTTATGCTCAACTATGATGTGGTGTAAGCTTATGCTTGACTAAGTGGAGATATATTTCTTTATATGATAAGCTGTTGAAGCCCCTGTTCCTTTATGTTTGATCCCTACCTCTTATTAGTAAATGAGCATTGGTGATAATAATAGTATATTTAATAATAATAAATGATAATACAACAGCGCAGAGATTAATGAATTGCTTAGCAAAAAAATGCTTATAAAGAGTTGTGAAAAACTGCAAGTTGAATTTTTTTTTTTTTTTTTTAAACAAGAAAACCCTGATGATAACCCCCTCATTCAAATCATTGAATTATATATTAAAAAAGTTAGCTCCCTTGCACGTTGTTAAAATTTGCTCTCTGGTATCAAAACTTCAGATAACTAACTGTGCGCCTCCCAACTGCATCATATTTCTGCTCGTTCCACTTATCTAGTCTGAGATGTCCATCTGAGCGTCCTTTCTTATGAATTCTTTAACTGTCATCTTTTTACATAGATATAGCTATCCCCTACCTTATATGCCTCGGTATCAGCTAACGAGAACATAGGGAAGCCCGCGTCACTTATCCATATCAAAACCTGGTGAGAAACCGAGCGGAAGAAGTTCGGACATACTGCGTAAATGCAAGCGGGGCCCCCCCACCTATGCCGCTTTCTATAGATAGCAGCGGATATAGAGAAACCAGCTCCGCCGCCTCAGCTTCCGGAACGGCCATGGAGGGGATGTCGAAAGCGGTGCAGGGGGTTTGTTTCCACGCTCATTTTGTGCTTCGGAGCTCTCGGCGTGTGTGAATTTCGTAACAGCGTCGTGGGGAGGGAGAATCCTGGGAAAAGGGGCCTCTTTTTGTAAGGTACGAGGATCATAGAGGTCTGCGCAGTTTGAGGCCATGCATGGTTGTTCGCGGTCAAAGCGGATCGAGACACATGACTAATGTAAAACTAGGACAGTTTGAGCGGACGAGAAGCCTTGACTACTGGACCGACCATAATCATGAGAACAGGTACTGCATCTACCGATGTAGATATGAAGTTGATGAAGTATTCTGAGCACTCTTGTTGCATCATCGCTCTCCCGATTATTATCTTTGGTGGCGGAACAAGTAGGAACATCAACTTCTTTTGCCGCATTATTATCATCCATCGCTCTAGATCGCGTCGACGCAAAAAATCACATCCGGATCGTTCGACACGGAGTTGTCGGATCCTCATGTGGATGCCTCCTTGTTGAATGGACAAGGTATGAAGGACATGCAGCAGTCAACATAAGATCCGATACAACGGGTATTCAGGCGAATTTATTTTTTGGCTCCTGTGTATTTGCAAAATTCATATTGAAACTCAAATATTTCGGGATTGCGACCTGTATCGCGCTGTTAATCACAAAACCACATTTTGCAATCTCCCAGTCATTTATTTCTGGTTATCGGGTGATGAGATATCGTACTGCGACCTCACTTCTTGCAAAAGAAAACGTTCAGCCCATACCAATATGTCTAACACCCGAAAGTCTCCTGTTTCAAGTACACGGACCAGAACGAAAGACCGTGATGAAAACGGAGAAAGCAAAGGCCGACGTTTGAAATCTGGCTGTTTTGAAGAAAAGAAAAGGCGGAATGTAGTGAGTGATGAGAATTATATACCTGCTTTCCCATCGGTAGGTCTTTTAGTGGAAGGTTTCACAGAAGTTTTAATCTGGACCTCGAGATAAAATTGCTGTAGGAAACATGATACGATGACATGATGTATTTGGGGCCACTCGGGAAGAAGCTCCATACGGCTATTTGGCAGGCCGTTAGCCACGAAAAGCCCTGGATGTCTCAAGGTTGAATATTGTGGTAGTCACAGACAAGTCCCTTTTAAGCTGTTGTTCATTTCTGGAGCTGCGTTTAAATGAAACCAACGGCTTGCGCAATCCATGAATAGGGGTGGTGTGGCACCTAGAGGACATCTGATATTTGATATACCTAGAGTGGATGGAGTATGCACCAAATCCCACTCGTTCGTATGAGAATATGGGTCCGTAGCATGTTTCGTTATCATCCTTTATGATGCCCAGGTAAGGAATATGAACAACCGACTCTTCTGTTCCCCTTCACGTCTTGTCATAAAGTCTTAGTTCAGATGGGCGAAACATTCTGTTCAATATTCCATCGGTGGCCTTATGTTACTCAACCAGGGGCTCAGGAGCGGTCCCTATTCCAGGGGTTAATTGAGGACGAATGACGGAGAAGGTTGGATAAAGAGGAGTATCTACCCTTGTTCACGCTGGTGACGTCTCAAGATTTCATAGAATAAGTCACTAACACGAGCTAAGACCCAGGTTTCATTGATAGCATGGTTCACTTGTGACCCTGAGTTTGTTAGTCATTATAGATGTGTATATATGAAAAAGATATTCAGGCTCAGTTCAATGATTAATAGCGAGAGTCAAGCCATTTCAAATCTGCGCACAATCAAACTGGGGAATTTTGTCACACCTTGCCTTTTGTCTATGCGTGAGACCAAGCTAAAGATTTATATGACTTGGAATGGACCTTACCACAATCTCCTTGCTGAAAAACTCTTGTTCAACAGCTTTCAAGGCTTGGTGTATCAATTATCTTCTTAGAGACTTAATTGAAGACCTCCTAAAACCTAATCTCATGTAGGGAATTTCTTGTATCACGTTGTGAATGAAAACTTGCTGATCGAATAAAGTAAATGGAATATGCTTCGATTACTTTAAATAAACAAATCCCTCATTCACAGCTGAACGAGATTATAAGGAAAGATAGGTCCCCGTGAAGCGATGGTGCAAAGCTCAGTTTCTCAGGTTTCAAGGGGCAAAGGCAGACACGGAATGAAGCTATCAAGATGCATAGTCGGCATCATGGTGTGTCAGAATCAGGGTCGTATTTCTATTCTAGAGAAGGCACTAGATATAGAATCTGCTTGGGAGCAAGCATATGTTTCATTGCAATGGTCCCGATGGTAGAGGTTATTCTACCAGTTGGGAATGGAATTCCGCCTTGAATATGACTGAGCTTCAAGAAGGTAGATATGGATTTTTGCAGAAAAGTGGTCTCTGTAATAATTTCTCATATCTCTCTGAATACAATCTTGAGCATGTTAGAGGCAAGCCCATGAATCGTCTTATTTTGCAATATTGGAAGCATGGCATTGTAGGCATGTACATGTATGTACATGTACATGTACCTGTAGTTACCACAGCTACATGTAATGTAATATACACATAAGCTTGGAACGATAGAAGTATTTCGTAAGAGAGAAGTATTGCAGTTTCGATCACTCCTGCAAGCGAGATGCTTCAATCACGGCTTCAACATGGAACAATGGCAAAGGAAATGTCCTAGGATGAGTTGCCCGACAAGTCAAGATCGCTAGATCCTCGAGTCAAGTCAATAATTAGTATTCGCCATCAATGGGATTGTTTATTCTGTTTGCGTTGCGTCTTTCAATATCAGCCAGGTCAACTATCCTCTAATTCTTCCCTCCGCCAGAAAGACAATAATAGAAGGAATTGCAAAGCCTTTCGAATCAAACGAAAATGGCGACGACAATAAGAATATTTCTTCATTCGGGCTCCATTCTTTTTTGCGAAGCCCGAGCCCGTGAGATTTCCATATACAAAGCATGTGGAGCGCTGTACGAGCACCGCCTAAAGATCAGCAAATGGCGGGCGGCGATTCCCCGAATACGTACCTATCTCGTTTGTTCGCACTTCAACCTGTCCCTGTGAATAATATCTGGATTCCTCCCTCCCGTAACTATTTCATTTTGTTAGGCTGATTTGAATGGAATTGTCGAAAAAAACGCTCCCAGCGCTCGGGCATTGTTTTCGTCACTTCGTCGGCATCACGAGCGCCCAGTTGAAAGAATTCCATGAAACGAGCGGATTGATGCATTTTTTTCCTATGCTTAAAACATGAAAGCCCAAGAAAACACCATCGGCAACCGCCTAGCCGCTGCACCCAGGCAGGTATGTATCATGGTCAAGATACAATGGAAGAGCGGAGGAGACAAGAAATAAAAAGGCGCCAAAGAAAGAGGCAAAGATAGAGAGTTTCCCACCAAAGATCTTGCTCAAACAATGTTCACAATCTATCAGCCACCGTCTAACCCCCCCCCCAGTCAATCTGTCCATAGCTTAACGAATATTCAGCGTTTACATCGCCAACTTCCCACGTTGTCCACAGCTTCCACGCCGGGATTCGTTGGCGATATCTCTGCCAGCCCAACACTTTCCCTTGCATAGATCCATAGATCCATAGATCCAGGGATAGATCCAGCTGAA